GGCCCCCCCCCCCCCCCCCCCCCCCCGCGACCAAGATTGCAGCGTAGCCCAGGGTGTTCCGACGTTTCCAAATGGAGGGCCCGTTGTACGCCGCTATATATGCCAGGCCCTCCTTTGAGCAACGTAGATGGCAATGGCTGAAACGGCTGCCTGTATGATGTGGTGGCAAGGCGTAAGATGCAGGCAATCCCTGTGAGGATTCTTCATGGCTCCACTAGGGTGTAGGCGTTGGTTGGAACCTGGTGCTAAGTAGTGCCATGTGTGATGAATGGTATCAGTACAGACAACAGGCAGCGTTTCCCCTTTTTTTTTCCTCTCGTGGACAAGGCGAAGGCGAGGCTGAGGCAGGCGGTGGAGTGGCCGGTCGTCCACAAGGCCTCTTTCGATCGGATGGGGCTTACACCCCCTAGGTACGTACGTACGCACGACGAGCGCTGAAGGCGTTCGATAGAATAGGCGTGTCGCTAGGGGGGCAAGGACTGGACAATACGGCAGGACTGCTGTGTCGCTCTAGCGACAGGACTCTGTTGTGCTGTGTCGCCAGTTCGGCAGGTCTCTTTGTGTGTTTTGCTGTCATTTAGCGGGAGTATTTTATTTTTGCTTGTTACGGTGTTGGCGTTGTTAGGTGTCGGCATTGGTGTTCTCTCGAGCGCATTCAACAACACCGCTCCGAAGTCCTTTTTCTCGTTCCTCCGGTGGCGCTTTCAGGAATGGCACAGTATTGCTTCCTCGCTTCCCGCTTCAGCAACAATGCGTTGGTTGCCGCTCTTGATGCCAGTCGTTGTTTTTTTTATTTTTCCGCCATCTTTGCTAGTTTGATGTGGTCGTTCCCGTACCTCTGCCATCCGCCCCCGCCCCACCCCCAGGGGAATTCTACTCTTCGGCCCCCCCGGCTGCAGCAAGACTACCCTAGTTCGCGCCGCGGCTACAGCTGCCGGCGCGACATTCGTGTGCCTCTCGGGTGCGTAAAGTGTTCTTTTTTTCGTGTGGGCTCTTTGTTGCCTTTCACTGATAGGCCGCATACGCCTCTTGCTGGCCAATCAGAATGGTCGCATGTCGTCGTGCTTGTCGGTTAGAGTATGCTTGTTTCTCTGATGTTCTGTGTAGGTGCCGACATGTTTCCCCCGCGTATCATCGGTGTTGTGATGTTTTGGTCCTTCTTTTTCGTTTTTTTTCTTCTTGTGCTCTTTCGCAGTTCGCACGTGCCGACAACCGCTCCCCGCATGTCTGTGCGGCGCTTTTTTTTTTTTCTGTTTTTGCCTATCGCTGCTCTGCTACTGCAGACGTCGACCTGTTTTCTGTTTTCCCCGCATTGGTGGTTGTGGTGTTTTATTTTTTTTATTTTTTACCTCGCTGCTGCTTTTACAGGAGCCGATGTGTTTTCCCCTTACCTGGGAGAAGCGGAGGCAGAGATCAGGCAAGCCTTTCGGATCGCTCGGAATGCCGCGCCTGCCATCCTCTTCTTCGACGAAATCGACGCAATCGTCTGCAACAGGGGCGGTGGGGGCAAGGCAAGCTTTGTTGGAGCAGGGGGGCGCGCTCATGGTTCGCATGCCTTTTAGCCTAGAGACCATGACCACGCAGGATTGTTGTTTTCGATTTTTTGCAACTGAATCACCTGCGCCGCGCAATTCTTCGGGGTTGTCGTATCTCACTCCGCCTCCGGCGCCCGTGAGTTTTGCGTGTGGATGCTGGCACGGATCGCGTTAGCTGCCGCCTGTGAAACGAAACCTTGCCAATTCGTTTCTATGCGTGGATAAAAAGATATATGGTCGGGGTTTTCGTGATCCTGGTGGATGGGACAAAACGTGTGTTTGTTTGCTCCATTTTCGTTAAATTGTAAAGTAGTCTAGTTGGTCATCTTGGGGGGGAAAGTTGTGTGAACTTTGTTTTGGCTTGCTTGTTGGATTGAAGGATTTGGAAAATTTGCAGCTGTCACGGTGCCCACTTAAAGGAGAGTAGCACCAGCATTGTCTTCCCTCTGCCACCACGGCTCTGGTATAGTTGCCGTGCACGGTAGCTGGCGGCAAGCTCTTGCTGCCGTTGGTTCTGCCATTTCCCCCAACCATCATCCCTTTGTGCATCTACCGGGACTCGATATTTGCCCCCAATCAGCGACAACAAACAACGAAATCCCATCAATACACGAACATATCCCCCGCCCTCATAAAAAAACAATGCCTGTCCACCCCCCAAAAAAACATAAGAACATCCTCCCCCCCCAAAAAAGGAAACGCCCCTCCCCCCCCCTAACATAGTAGTAAACACCCGCCCGTCCCTGACACCCAGCACTGATGTCGCTTGCACTACACTACGCACGCACGAACTGACGGGGTCCCAGGGGTCCGCAAGCTCGGCGGAGTCGCGTGTGCTGGCGACGTTCTTGACGGAGATGGACGGAGTCGGCAGCCTCAAGGGGGACGGGGTGGTCGTTGTCGGGGCCACGAACAGACCGGAGGCGGTGGACCGCGCGCTTCTGCGGCCCGGGCGATTCGACCAGGTGGTCTACGCCCCGCTGCCCGAAGAGAACGCAAGGCGGCAGGTGAATCTTGTGTTTACTTTTTTTTGCTCTGTCTTTTTTTTTTTTTTTTGCCCGTGTTTGTGTTGGTTTGATTGCTACGTTCACTCTGTGCGTGTCTTGCTTTTCTCCCCCCATCTCCGAGTGCGGGTCCAGTATTTATTATCTCCCAGGGTTGTGCCTCGGTAGGACTGTCCCCGGTATGTGTTTTAGTTCTCGTTGACGTTGGTTGGTTGGGTGCTGCGCGCACCGTTTATCGTCGCTGTCGAAGAGCTTGACCATCGTCGTTTTTTGGCGCCATCATGGCAGATGTTCTGTTTCGTGTACTAGCTGATTATATGATCCCCACCTCCTTCCCCCCCGAATAAAACGAAGAACCGAATATTTTTCCGCTCCTGACGCCAAAACGTTCCCATACCATTGGTTTTGCGGGACGAGAGTGGAATAGCAAATGTTAAAAAAACGCCTTGCCGCGTCGGTATTTTTTTCCCGGCAGATCTTCGAAGTACACACGAGGAGGATGGCGGTCGACAGGGAAGACGTCGACTTCCTCAGGCTCGCTGGCGTCACCAAGGGCTTGACGGGGGCTGAAATAGAGGTATGACAGGGACATGCGACTGCATATAGGACCATGGAAGGGGATAGATGCCCTACCTACATGAATCCTTCCGCCCCCCCCGCAATAGTTCAGCGGCGTGCTGACTGGAAAATTCCTATGCACACATTAGACTGAAGACAGATTGTTCAGTCTTTTTTTTTTTTCGCTTTCTTTTTGGGTGGTTTTCTGGGCTCTTCGAGTCGCAAACACATCGGTTGTGGGTGAGCTGTTCGAGCTTGGGGAACGTCACAACTCACAGCTGGCAGCCAGCTGTGGGGTGCCTCTGCTGGCTGTTTTTGATGCCATCTTGCTTGGTTTGACGACACTGTTATTTCACTCAAGCCAAAGCCGGAGGGAGCACTTGTAGGCACATACACACCGTCGGAAGATACCACACTCCCTGCACCTATTCTCCAAGCTCGATTACTCCACGATGAAGATGATGCACAAATATTGTGACATCATTTCGGAAACCTCTCGCTGAGACGGTTCTAACACTGCCGTTGTCGCCACGGCGCCGTTTCTGCTTTGGAGCAATCGAGCTTTGACAGTCGTGTGGTATCTTGCGTCACCTACGGGTATGCATGTGCTGGCCACGTTCTTTGCCGCGGGGAGACAGAACGATTTTGTGATTGGTACACAGTAAGTCTCTGCTGCGGCGGTTGACGATGTCTTTACGTCACATCGCCTGTTCCGACGTGTACTACTCTACCCCCAGGATCGCTCCATGGAACCCAAGGCCACATCTCGTCGGCGACCACTCTCGTTATCTCATTCTCCTGCAGTTCATCAAAACCATCGTGCCCGGTCTCTCCATTCCGTGTAACATCACTACTTAGCCTTCCCCTTCTCCAATGCCCGCGAAACAAAACATCGTGTGCCTGCAGGGGGTCTGTAGAGAGGCCGCGATGTCGGCCATCAGGGAAGCCGGGTTCGGGGGCGACGCAGACAGCAGCACCGACGCCAGCAGCATCGCCGCAATCAACACCACCACTAGCAGCAGCACCATCGCTGCCGACTCGTGCCGACAAAGCGAAGACGATGTTGGTCCGGAAGAGGTGCAGCAGGCCACGACGATGGGTAGGGGGAAAGAGAGGCGGAGCGCTGCGGTAGCGATGCGGCATCTCATGGCGGCGGCCGAGGCGGCGGCAGCCAGGCCGGGGGTGACGCAGGAGATGATGCAGGGGTACAACCGGTTCGCCTCTGGTCTTGCATGACCACCAGACAGTAGCATAGGGAGGCGACACGTGTAATTATGGCAGGGGTCTCGCTTGATTATCCCCCTCTGCGCTGGCTGTAGCGGTGTTGCTGTTTCCCATGCGGAAAAAAAAAAAAAAAGCAGTCACGCAACGAGCGGGCGGCAATTGTTCCGAAATCGAGCACAACAAGTATTTCGACGGACAGATGTCAGCTGAGTTCAGCCAATCAGCGCGTCTTGCGACCACACGTCGAGACGTGGGCGAAACCTTGTGAAGAACCAAACACCAAGGGCGTTCCCTTCTATGGACCTACCTGGTAGGTCACACCTTTTGTCGGTTCTCACGTCTGGTTGGCCGGTCGAGCCTACTACGCCATGGGGCCGCAATATCGGACAGTCCGCCAGAAGGGAGGACGGAAAAAAATCTCGGAGCGGCGAAAACACTCTTCGTGTGGAAATACCCCGCTTGAGATTCGTCAGCGTGTGTACGGAAACTCGCTGATCTTCGTTTCTCGTGGACACACCGAAAAACAACGACGGCGAACGGTGGGGCTTGAAGGTTTCGACGCCATGCCCCCTCAGCCTTTCAACCATCATTTTCTTTTTAACTTGGGGGTGAAGAACTTGGGCCTAAAAAAAAATCCAAACAACTTGGCAATAAGAACAGGTGGTCAGTAAAAAGCCTACACTAAAACGCGTATTGTAGCCGTGGGGTTGCCCCATTGACAACGTATGCATGGAGAAACGAGCCTTGGGCAAAGCAAGAGGTTCTCGAGTGGCGGAGCGTTCTGTATCACAGCTCAGCCCAGTTCCATGCCGGGACGCTCCCAAACCCGAGTGGACGAATCTCCTTTCTCATTTGTGTAGCGAGTTTTTTACTCCCGCCCAGACATGGGAACTATTTTCTATTTTCCGTGGAGGGTCCTACGGGTTGGCCGCGCGAATTTGTGACCGTCGGTTTGCCCCGAACCGACAGCCCGGGTGGTTCGGAGGTCGAAAATGTAATTTCATCGTACATTTTCGAAAACGATTCTTTGCCCACGCCCTGGTGGTTCGGAGGTCGAAAATGTAATTTCATCGTACATTTTCGAAAACGATTCTTTGCCCACGCCCTGGTGGTTCGGAGGTCGAAAATGGTATTTAATCGTACGTTTCGTAAACGATTCTTCCTTCTCTGTCGAATTCAAGCCCGCACAACCACGGGCGTTAACGAAAGATCGACCTCCCCCCCCCCGAAAGCAAAACAATATCGGAGTTGTGGTCGACTTGGGGATTTTCCTGCCGTTGAAAGCCCACGGTTGGGTGCACGAATTCCACACCGTCGTTTTCATTGGCTCGAAAGTTGAAAACATGTTATCTTATCTTTAGGGTTGTGTATCGGCGCAGCCGAACGATATAATATGTATCGGAGATCGGCGCAGCCGATATAACGATATTTTTTCGATATATCGGCTACGAAAAAATATCGGCGAGCGAAGCGAGCCGTGGTTAGGGGGCTCGCGAAACGAGCCCCCCCTCGGCCCCCCGGCTGGTGAGGGGCCCCGCTGGAGGCGCCCCCGGAGGGCCCCGCTGGAGGCGCCCCGCCGGAGGCGTTTTTTTACGCGATTTGGCTTCACTAGAGCATATTTTTTGGGTGATTTTGGGGCACTTCGACCATGCCATTTTTTGGTGGGTGATATCCTGAAAACTACTGAAAAACGCTAAAACTTGGAAACCATCGACAATAAATGACAGATGATTAGTCAGTTCTCTTTCGAAGCTTTGGTTGGGTGGTACAACACGACCACGTTTGAACGTCTTCACGAAGCTGCTTCCAAAACACGTTCCCACCTCCCTCGTCCTCCCTCTCTCTCTGAATCTTGTCATGTTTCTACAACACAGCCTAAGTTTTTCGTGTTTTTTTTAACTTGGTCTCTGCACAGTGAAAGTCGCCGTTTGCCACGCACAACTGACAGATCGCGATGCCCGAATGGCATGGGTTCCGATACACCCTGAAATGCTTCCACACCGGGTGTGAGGCATTCGGGGGCTTGGGCAGCTTCGGCTCCATCTTGACCCTCTCCACCTTCGCAGCCCGCTCGTTTTTCTTCGAACGCTCTGCTGTCTCTGTGTCTGAAACTGGTTCTACTGTAACCACCGGCGTGGAGGACCCTCCATCCTGGTCCGCTGCTGGTGGGGTACTCATGGGGTGTTCGGCTAGTGTTCGGTGTTCGGTCTGCTCTTCTGTGGTCCAAAGCAACAGCCGCCGCAACAGCGTGGCCTCATAGGGGGTCCAAACGTGTAACTGTTGTAACATATGCCCCCTTTTTGATTCACGGAGCCCCCTCAAATATATCGCCCAACATATCGGGGCTGACAATAGATATTCGATACGATATATATCGTCCGATTATATCAAACATATCGGCTCCGATACACAACCCTACTTATCTTGCAGAAAAACACCGAAATCTCTTCCGTGCTCTGGTCCACCACGAGAAAAAAGTATGTAATACACGGCATCACTGCGACTCAAGTATACTGTGGCCGAAACCATCGATATTGGCTTTGCTCTCGAGAGACGCATCCATACCGCGAGTGCCTGAACACTGTAACAGCATCAGCACCATCAACGGCAAAGTCGTTGTGGTGTAACCAACCTTGAAACCAACGACACCAACGACGACAAAAACGTCAACCACAACGACAACAAAAAGCGAAAACGAAAACTACAATAACTGACAATAACGACGACAAAAACTTCATAACGACAGCCCCAATGGTTTGTGGCATCCACCTCTAACGCGGCAGTATTCGATGCTGGCATCGCGCCGCGCCATTGTAAGTCAAACCAAGCGAAAGCAAGCACCCGCGCCCAATTCCTGCTGTTCTTTCCACGCTGCTTTTGCCCCTTCGACCTGTAAAAAAACACAGCCGTACAGTCGTGGCTTCGACATAAAAGGTTACCTCCTAAGAGGTGTCTCCGATATAAGAAGGTCGAAATCGGTTGTCACGGACTCGACCCTCTATAGTAGTATAGTTGAGTACCCTCTATAGTAGTATAGTTGAGTACTCTCTATAGTAGTATAGTTGAGTACTCTCTTAACCCGGTACAAGAGGGGGCTTCGATATAAGAGGGTCGAGGGCCTTTGTCACACCACCCTGTCAAATCGGAGCCACGATCGTAGTGACATTAAAACGGTAGCAATCTTCCACAGCAACGCCGACGCGCCTTCTGCGAGACGTTCGATAAGCTTGCTGAACCCTACCCCACCCACCCCATTCCGCCTGTCGTACTTCTTTTCACGGAAGCACTCGCGGGGTTCTCCGGTGTGCATGTCTGCATAGACCAGAATCAGTAAAGCACAGGACAACATTCAACAAAATGTGACATACGAAGGACAGCGTAAGAAGCGTTTCTGTGGTCAGTTGTCCCTGTTTTGCAAAGAGGGGCAGGCCAAAATAAAATGCACGAGAGCCGCCTTACGAACGCCTTCACCCTATCCTACGTGGTGCTGGCGATGGTCTGCTTTTCGGGGTTCATGAAAAATTAGCGCAGGGCACGTCGATTAACGCTCTCCCGATACCCTCCTGTCTCACTCTCCGTCACCTCCCAATGCCCTTGTCCACAGGGCAACCATGCCCTCTCCCATATTAACAAGTCCCGCCCTAAACCTAGATACATCGGTGGTGGATGCCGGCCTCTCGTACCGGCCCCGTGCACGGCTATCCTCCGAAACACACACGCGACAAGCCATATCGTCTAAATACCACTACCCCGACCTCATGGCCAAATATCTCCGACCTGACGCCCCCGCGATTCCCTCGCGATCTCGACGTAGCTACGGTAGGCTTTGGTCGGATACCACGGTCGTGGTCGACTGTGTTTGCCCAGGAAAAAAAAAAAAAAGACAAGCACGGAAACCGTTCTCTTACGAAAGCAACCCTCTCTTTCGCACATGGGCCATCTCTCGGAACAATAGAGACAAGAGAGGTCCTCCATGATCGTCCCCGTCTTAAGCAAAAGCTATCAATTAGACCTGGTGGGTCATGCCGATGACGCCCCCCTCGTGCGGCTGGCCGACCTCGCCGCCCACCGTCCACTTGGGGCACTCGGCCTGCATCTCGCCCCAGGCCCTCGACAGGTCGTCGTGGAGCTGGCGACCGTGGTTGCTGGCGAGGGCGTCCGGGTCCTGCACGCGGAGGGGAGGGAGGGATGGAGGGAAAAAAACGCCTCGTTGATAATACCACGGACGAGGTCCCAAAAAAAGAAACTAATACAGTACACGCGCGTCCATTATATTTTCAAGTTTTGTATATTACTGCCTTTTTTCGACTTTTTTTTCAAAATATGCATATTATCTCGCCTTTTTCGAAACTTTGGTTTTGGAAAACAGCGAGTCTTCTTGCGAGGGGGAGAAGAAAAAAAGAGCAACAACAAGCAGCGTATGGCCAGCTGACTGTAGGGGCTGGGTGGAGCCCGTCGACGCAAGACAAGTTCGGGGTGCGGGGGGTGGAATGAGAGGTAAACACGACACAACGAACACAAGGGGCAACAACGACGATAATGCCCGAGAATGCCGGCCGCAAGGCAGCGCAGCAGGGGGTGTCATGCGGGCTCTAACTAAAAACCGGATAAGACGTAAATACTTCTGCATCACGACAAAACAGCAAAACAGTCGAGCAGGAGCCAACTCCAGACAAACAAACGCGTCCCCGAGAGACGGGGAACTTACTCGTCGCTTACCGTAGGGTGCGACTGGCATAGGATCAGCAGCCAGTAGCATCTGTTGTTGGAAGCATTCTACGCTGAAACCGTCACCCCCCGTCCAAGAGGTCAACTTGAAAGCGGCGGTAAAAACACACGCACACAACACCACCACACCCACAAAAAACAAAAATGTAAGGCAATAAATACAATACAGATTTCAATTTTTTGTTTTGGTTCGTTCAGGTTCGGGTTGGCTCTTCGAATCAAAACCCCCGTCAGCTGTGTGGGCTTGAGAAACGTCACAAAGGCAGCTGGACAGCCGGCTGTCAGTTGGTCTGGCCCCCTGCTTTTATTTTCATCTTGCATCACATCTAGACGGCACGATGTTCTCACGAGTCCACTCCGGAGGGAATAATGCCCGTTTGGTTGAATAATATTTTTAAGAGGTTATTCGTAGTTCGATTGGGCGGCAGCAGTCGGTGTCCTGTCCCTTGTCACAGCACTACTGTACCTGCACGAAGCAGACGAACACGGCCTTGAAGGAAGACCGCAAGACCTCAACCGTAGTGGCCACGACGAACGCCACCAGGAGGGGGCTGAACAGGAAGATCACGTAGACTCCCACGAGGAACGTTCCTCCCAACGCCCTGTGTGCCACCGTGATCACCAGGTAGGCCAAGCACAAGAAGCAGACGGTCAGCCCGGCGCAGACGGCGGTCAGGCCGACGTCCACGACGATGTCGTTCGCGATGGTCGTGACGCCGCGCCGCCGGAACAGCTCCGAGACGCGCTGGCCGGCTGTTGTTTTCGAGAACGGCGGGATGGACATTTTGTAAGGTTATTTCGTACACGAAGGCGTCCGCACTTGTGAACCCTCTTCTTTTCTAGTTTCGGCCGACGCTGGGGTTCTTTGTTCCTCTTTCGGTTTGCAAAAGTGTGCGCCACGTAGGTTTTAGTGTAGGCGGACCCGCACTCGCTCAAGTTCTCATTTTTTTGTGTAGGGCCGAGCATGAAGTTCTTAACACACCAAGTTCTTGTGTGCCGTACACAAACTATCTGTGGTGACATACAAGCACTATCTGTGGCGTCTTGCAAAAACGCCCTTTCAGAAGCAGGCCATGGTGTGACGAGGGTCGCGTCCCTGATGGATGGTGTCGGCTTTTCACCAGAATTTCGCCGCAAACGGTCTCCGTCTCTTCATCACGGGCAAGGTGGCTGGGTTTCTTGTGAGCGGCAGTTTTTTTCCGGTTGAATCCACGGGGGCCCTGAAGAAGAGTCGTCAATCCCTATCATCAGAACTCGGGTGGTGACGCATGACACATTGACTCTGCTACCTATTCTCGTGCGAGTTGCAGCCCCCCCCCTGCGAGGCAAAGCTGCCGACTACAAAACATTTGAGCCTGGCCTCTCGTTGATTTTTTTTTTTCCTCTTTAACCTGACACCGTGAAGAAACCCGAGAAAAGAAGGGGAAACACTGACGCACCAAAAAACAGGAGTTTGGTCTGCGCTGCCTAGCTAGGCGAAACCCAGCGCCCCGTAGCACCCACCCACCCACCAACCTTCCGAGAAGCTCAAGCCGTAGATGGAGATGAAGCAGATGGAATACGCGAGGATGTAGTCTGCGAGTCTCTGCAGCCACCCCAGGACGAAGCTCCCGCACCGGCCGACCTTGGCCAGTCGACGCACCGTCCGGGTGAGCAGCCTCACCGCGGTCGAAATGGCGGCCGCCTTGCAGAGTGATCTGGCGAGATAACGCGAGTGCGGGTGAGGACAGAGGCGAAGCGTGCGCGGGAGAGAATCTGTGCTCTCTCGGACAGCAAAACGGTCGGACGCTCCGCTCCGGGGTGTTGGTACGCGGTGCACAAGGTTGACCCCACAGCAGCCGCAGCCTTGAAATGACGTCAAAGGAGCACACTCCCGGGATGGATACTAGGACACGACATCACGCACACCCACCTTCTTGCTACTGTAGTGCGTGTCTCATGATACCACTCCCCCCCCCTGGACAGATGGGCCTAAGGAGCACACTCCCGGGATGGACCCTAGGACACGACATCGAGCACACCACCTTCGTGCTACCGCCGTAGGTTTTTATGGTACCACCCTCCCCCCCCCCTGGACACATTTTCAAAGCTTGATTACTCTGCGGCAAAAGCCGTGACGGTGCTGGAAATGGTAGCGCGGGAACGATCCCGTCGAAACAGCTTCCCCAAAACGCATCGTCGTGGAGTTCAGTCCAAGGATTGCGGCATCTTACGCACCCTACGGTGGGAGCCTCTCTTGCGATTAAGCCGCCCCCACGTGGTGCTACGAGAAGAACAAAAAAAACACATGACATATCGGGTTGGCACAGCACACCCAAGGATGATGGCCAACTTCTGGCCCATCCTTGTGAAGCGTAGCCTTGGCCGGCGAAACCGCTCAGGCCCGCTTTTCGACGTGAATTGTGTCAAACGACTATGTCACGCGCACACTCGAGTACAACCCCCTCACCCAAAAGAGCCGTGTGTCGCGCGGTAGAGGGCGCCGCGCACGGGGCTCGCGTCCCGGTCGGCCGAGTACCACCAGGACGCCACCGAGCCTGTGACCGTCGCCGTCACCACGTTCCGGATAACGTCCGCGCCCCACGTGAGGCTCGCCAGCCAGAACAAGGCGAGCCAGAGGCCGCGACCCTCGTACTCGCAGGCCGAGTTGTACGAGGCCACGTGCCCGCCGCACATGCAGGAGAGGTGGTGGACCATGCCGCGCGTGGGCGGGTCGAGCATGACGTCGCTGCAGGAGGACGCCTTGTACGTCGTGCCGTCGAGACCGGTCACGGTCCGGAGGGAGGCGATCGTGCCCCCTGCCGCCATCGCGGAGAGGAGGACCCACAGCACCTGGACGCCGCTCATCAGCAGGCCGGCTCGGACAGTCCACGGCATGGACTTGACGGCTAGGCCTGCGACCTGGTTGTGGTTGGCGGGGGGGGGGGAAGGGGGGGAGGGAGGGAGGGTTTCGTCATGTAGGGTGGCGTGCACAGTGAAGCGGGACTGATACACACCACTCCGCTGGATCAGCTAGCCTAAAAAGTCGAAATAAAAATAGTTCGGTTTACTATGCTAACTGGTCGCGGGATAAACGCGCATGGATTTGATTGGTTGATTGGAAAACCTCCACAAGTCAAAAAGCAGACATATAAGAGCCTAGCTTGCCGTCAAGGCCCTCCTGAGGGTGGCGGGCCTGTGCAGGGCTTTCGATCACGTCTCGATCCGGCGAACAAGTCAAAGGCGAGCCGACCTTGCTCTGTCACCCAGAAATAGGTCTACGGTTGGCCTTGCTCTGGCACCTAGGGATGAGAGGTAGGGATGTCAAAAGGTATGCTCACCTTGAGGTTGGCGGAGCCGAAGCGGATCCGGCTCTGGCGCTTCAAGTAGAACCGTACGGTCCAGGCGCACAGGAAGGCGGGGAACAGGCACCCGAACCAGTGACCGGCGGCGAGAGCAGAGACGGCGGCCATGCCCGAGATCCCGGCAAGGCTTAAGTAGGCTATCTGGAAGACTCGATCAATGGACAGAGGCAGCGTCAGGGATGGGATTCTGTCAACACAACCAATACTTACTTGGTTTGAAGGACGTTTTCTTTTCTGGGCCCATTTTGTATTAGTTTTTTCTACGTCTAGAAAAGTGTAACCGTTTTGGGGGATAGTGACCAGCGAAGGCGTCTGCTTCGGACCAGTACGGATACTAGAAAGTTCAGAGTAGACTGGAACAGTTTTCAATGTGACGACAACAACAACTGCTGCTGTTGAGGAAGGAACGAAAAACTGGCAGGACTGGGGGGGGAGGTCCGTATCATCATTATCTTGGGGGACAACATCAAAAAAATTACATTCGCGCCATCAGGAAGGGAACACCATCACGTCACCGCCCCCACCTCCGACAACTTCGATGCTCTCTACGAACTCCGTTCCCATCGACAAAACAATCAGCCAACGCTGGAGCTCGCGTTCTAAACAATGCGTCCACACAACTCAATGGAAGTCTCGAAATTGCGTCCAAATTCTCTGTGTTTGACCTGATCTCCCAAGTCTCGAGGTGGGGGTCGTAGCATCGGTAAGACACCAAGGTCTTAGAGAGGTAAACGGAGATGGGGTAACTCTACCCTTTCTCGAAATCCCCTTAACCTGTATGCTGGCGATGAAGCTATTTTCGCCCCCTTTCCAATCAGAGTACAGTAGAATCGGGCCGTGGGACTAGACTCGTCGGCGGCTCATGGCTGCACTACAACAGCCGAGTTGCTGCAAGAGTAAATTTCCACTGCTGTGCGAAGTCTATGCCAAACCGCACCCGTCTTGCGTCAAAGCGTTGGTGCTGCCTTCGCGTTTTCTTTGTGCAGAAAAACACACAGATGACTCCCCCTCGCGGGGTTCGAGGCCTTGAGTAACGTCTTCCGATATTGGCCGCGCTGAGCCAAGATGCTTTTTCGTTGGCAAGCCGGCCAGAGCGGCCGACGCTAGGAATAAAGACAGACACACGCATTCTGTTTTAGTATACCTTTGTTGGGTAAGCTAGCCTGTGACCATGGGAAACGATCGCGTCAAGTGTTAGACTGGGTAGAATGATCGGAACGTTTTTTAATGGAAGACAACAACAACAACAACAACAAGGACCCACCCATAGACCCACCTTGAGGATTCTCTCTGAGTAGTTGATGACGGCATGGAGCACCCCCCACGCGAACGCCCAGGCAAGGCCGACAATCCCGAAGACAACCAGCGCCGGACCGACAACGCCGCCCCCACCGCCGGTCGACAAACGTCGGCCTGATTCGTCTCCCCCGACAAACTCGTCTAGCCCCGCGCTGCCGAAGGAAAAGGCCTGGGTAGTTCAGAAGAGGCGGGGACGAGGGAAGAGGGCATGTGTTTTGCTCGCACAAAATGGGAAGGACGAAATAGCCATTAGGGATTAGTGATAAGAGGAATCAACAGTATTTCATCGAAGGAGTGTTCTCACGAAAAAGGTTAGCGTTGGCTCATGATGTGCGTGCTACGGGAGCGGGGGCGTCCCGGTCTACGATGCTGGGGGATATCTCGATATCAAGCTTACGAAGCCGGGGCTGCAGCACGGCCAGGGAATGTGTCGAGAAGCACGATGACCACTTGACCACTAGTCAGCGCTCACTGGTGGTCAAGTGGTCAATGCACTTCTCAAAAAAAAGTTAATGCCCATGTTCGGTCTGGCTTTGCGGCCACGAACACGTCCCCCCAGGGTTGCCATCCCTGTCATCAGCGCTTGTGCTGGCCAGATCGATACAAGCAGGTCATCGGCTCATTTTGCGAAGGCTATTTTATTTCCCCAGGTTTTTTTCTTCCTCATAAATTCGGGCGCAAAGAAATTAAATCTCGGGGGGAGAGTACGGCCCTACGAAACGCGAGCGTGAATGATGTGCGTGTGTTAACCACGACCGCATGCAACGCTGGTCGCCGTGAGCTGCCTTGCTCCTTATCTTGAAGCGGCGGTGGTGTTCTTGAACAATTGCATGAGGCAAGTGTCAGGTAGCGGCTACGATGCTGGCCATGTTCATGGCATTTTTTAAGCACCACGTTAAACCTCCACGGCCGTGCGTCTCTCTCTCCCCTCTCTTCTCTCTTGGCCTTCTCATTCACCACCCCAAGGACCCTATCAACGCCCTACCTAAATGGCAGCTCTAGGCCGCATGCAAGCAGAGTTTGGGGTGTAGTATTCCAGATACGCAGCGTGTTGCCGGCCAAATAACAAGCTTTAGGACAAGCCGAGGTGTGTGCCACAGGGGACGAGGCGTTACAAATAGGATCGCTCCATGATCATCCCCTCTACTCACCGACACCACGGTGATGGCAACGTTGGCCTTGAAAGCCACCGCCCACGCCCTGTCCGTGGCGGGAGGTTCGGCCGCAGTCGTGTTGTTGTTGGAGCTGTTTAGCAGTCGGGGCCCCAAGTCATCTTCCGGCCCCTGCTGCAGGAAAGGCCTCGCCGCGTCCTCGGCCATGGTTGGTTCAGATACGTGCTCTACACGACTGTTCCACAGGAGAGGTGGTCTCAGTCTCCCTTTGCTAGCGTAAAGTTGTGACCAACGGGTAGCATATACTTCTAGCAGATCAACCACAACGCACGCAGAGGTTGCGGACAAACAAAGGAATTTGCGGGGAACCCGCTTGCGGTCTGGTGTGACTCTGAGGGAAAGGCCAACGAGAGCAGCTCTCCTACGACAGGTAGCCAAGCTTGAAAGAATACTAACTTCCAACCAGGGCCAAGGGAGACAGATAGAGGCAACCGGACGCAAAACAGAGTAGAGCAGCGGGCGAGCCGAGCCAACGCGACAATTCGCCAGAGAGGGGGCTCCGCGAAATGAACCCAACGAAATCGACCCCCTGTTGCAGAGAGTCAGCTCGAACATGATGTGGTCTGTGTGGCACTTGCACGTCGGCCCTCCTCTGCTGTGTGGTCGTACTCCCTCTCTGGGTGGCGGAAGCAACGAAAACACCTCAGGTGAGCCATTCTCTAGTCTTCCGGTTGTGTTCCAGTCAGCCCTTGGAGAGCGATGCGCTGGGTTTGTTATCTCCCCAACATCACCCACATAATAGGATCCTCTAATTGTAAAAAAACTGCTGTACACAGGCGGAGTCTATCTACGGGTTACCCGCCCGATTCTTGTTGTACCGCCTGTGGGATGAATATGCTATGTCACCTTCGAACACCCCGCTCATCAGCCCAACCTTTCCTCGTCCCACGCATATGCTGTTCAGCTTAGGCAGGTCCGAGGAGAGCGTAGAGCAGGGACTACTGCTGTACCACATGGCGCGCCCCCTGAGAAGCGGATAGAAAAAGCTGGCTGAGCCGATTTCATGCCGCTACGCGAAATCCAGCACACACGAAGCAGGGTACTGCTGCTACTGCCCTAGTCGGCAGATCGAGATTGCTCAGAGCCGAGGAAGAAGATATACATCCGAACAAGTCTCTTCAGGTTGTCTGCACCCCCGTATCCTACTCCTCATAGACGGATATCTCAAGTAGTCTTCGACGGACACTTTCTGATCGGGCCCCGGTATGGCTGAGATGGAACAGGAGCCCCTGGGGGTATCCCGCGAGGGGTCACAGCTGTCTCGGGATTCTGACGAGGAGGAAAGGGCAGCACGGCACCAGAAACTAGAGGTAGTGCAACAGCAAACGGGTGATATTGGTGGCGCTGGGGAGCAAGCAATTGAACCGGTAATGTTGTTCGGGGGTTCGGAGGATGAGGAGGAGGAGGGGGGAGCACAGCACCAGAGACTATTATAGAGGTGGCGCAACGGCAACAGGGTGACAACATCGGTGGCGCTGGTGGGGAGCAAGCAAGTGATACGGTACTGCTGTCTGAGGGTTCTGAGGAAGAGGAGGAGGGGGCAGCACACCAGCAGGTACTAGAGGTGGCGCAACGGCAAATGGGTGACAACATCGGTGGCGTTGGTGGGAAGCAAGCCATTGATACGGCACTCCTGTCTGAGGATTCTGAAGAGGAGGGGGCAGCGCACCAGCAGAGACTAGAGGTAGTGCAACTGCAAAAGGGTGACAACATGGATGACGCTGACGAGGAGCAATCGTTTGATACGATACTGCCCGGGGGTCCTGAGGAGGAGGAGGAGGAGGGGGCAGCACACCGGCAGAGGCTAGAGGTGGCGCAACGGCAAATGGGTGACAACATCTGTGGCGCTGACGAGGAGCAATCAATCGATACGGTAGTGCCTTGGGGTTATGAAGAGGAGGAGGTGGTGGTGGAGGAGGAGGGGGAGGAGGGGGCAACACAGCTGCAGAGACTAGAAGTAGTGCAACGGCAACAGGGCGACAACGTCGGTGACACTGACGGTATAGCGAAACCGCTACCAATGAGGCCCTACCCCGTAGCCGGAGATGACACCAGTGCCGGTGATCCCGTGACACCCGAGAGCGACTATAGCGGGAAGGATGAGCGCAACGATCATCAGCCCGCCATCGCTTCGGCTCCGTCTCCTCAGGTCACCGACGACTCAGTGAGGACCAGTGTCGGCGGCAGCGGTGGGGATCACCCCCCTAAACTACCCCTGGAACCGTCGCAAAGTGGGGTGGAGCTGCTCGGGAATGAGTTCCGAACCGAGCTTGACGGCGGCTCCATGAGCCACGGCTCGTCGACAGGAGACGTTCCCGCCGCGTCGCCTGCGCTGCTCTCTACATCACCTCCGCTCGGTCATCGCGACGCTATCGGTGCGGCTTCGCCCCCTCAGGCTACCGACGCCTCAGTGGGAACCAGTGTCGGCGGCAGCGGTAGGGTTCCTACCCCTAATCCTCCCTCGCAAAGTGGGATGAAACTGCTTGGGAATGAAGTCTCAACGGAGACTGGGGGCGACTCCACGAGCCGCGACTCGTCGGCAGGAGGATTTCCGACTACATCGCATGCTCCGCTCTCTAGGTCGCCTGCTCCGCTCGGTCATCGGGCCGCCATCGCTTCGGCTTCGTCCCCTCAGGCTGCCGACGACCCAACGGGAACCAGTGTCGGCGGCAGCGGGCGGGGTCATACCCCAAAGCTTCCCTCGACAGGAGGGATGGAGATGCTCGGGAATGAGTTCCCATCCGAGCTTGACGGTGAGTCGATGAGTTACGACTCGTCGACAGGGATCGTTCTAGCCGCATCACCTGCTCTGCTCTCTACGTCGCCTGCTCCGCTCGGTCATCGGGCCGTCATCGCTTTGGTTTCGGCCCCTCAAGCTACCGACGACTCAACGGGAACCAGTGTCGGCGGTACCGGGGTGGGCCATACCCCCAAGCTTCCCTCGTCAAGCGGGATGGAGCTGCTCGGGAGCAAGATGCCAACCGAGCTTGACGGCACCTCGATTAGCCGCGACTCGTCGACAGGGGGCGTTCCGGTCACATCGCTTTCTCTGCTCTCTACGTCGCCTGCTCCACCCGGTCACCGCGCCGCTATCGCTGTGGCTTCGTCCCCTCAGGCTACCCGCGACTCAGTGGGAACCAGTGTCGGTGGCAGCGGTAGGGTTCCTACCCCTAAGCTTCGCTCGCAGAAAAGTGGGATGAACTGCTCAGGAATGAGGTGCCAACGGAGCTTGACGGCGACTCCACGAGCCGCGACTCGTCGACAGGAGGATTTCCGACCACATCGCCTGCTCCGCTCTCTGTATCGTCTCCTCCCGGTTCTAGCGACGACCCTTCTAGTCCCTTCGAACAAGAACATGTGAGGAAGGAGGTGGGCGAGCACACCAGCGAGGGAGCACCCACCATCAAGGAGATTGACGCGACACAAGAGCAGGAGGAAGAGGGGGCGCTTACAGGAGGCGTTCAGGCCACGTCACCAGCTCTGCTCTCTACGTCGCCTGCTCCGTTCTCTACCGAGCACGGCATCAGCGCTTCTTCCAACGGACGTCGAACGGGTGCAGGAGGAGGCCTTGGCGGCGGCGGTGACCGTGCTAACGACGGTCCTTCTCGTCCCTTTGAGCTAGAACACTCGAGGGATGAGCAGACCGCACCCGTCACCAAGAAAACCAACGAGACACAAGAGCAGGAGGAAGACGAGGCGCTTACAGACGGCGTTCCGGCCACATCGCCTGCTCTGCTCTCTACACCGCCTTCTCCGCTCTCTACCGAGCACGGCACCAGTCCTTGCTCCAATGGACGTCAAACGGGTGCAGGAAGAAGCGGCTGCGATGGCGGTGACCGTGCAAACGACGGCCCTCCTCGTCCCTTCGAACAAGAATGCGCGAGGGATGAGCAGACCACACCCGTCACCGAGGAAACCAGCGAGACACAAGAGCGGGAGGAAGAGGAGGAGGCGCTTCGAGGCCTGCTGCGTCCCTCCGAACAAGAGCGCGCGAGGAAATAGGCAGACGAGCAGCCCGGCCAGGGTACGCCGGTCACCAAGGAAAAAAACGATACACAAGAGCAGGAGGAGACGCTTCTTCTGCGCGCGAGAATCGAGCAGCTGGAGACAAGCGCCCAGACCGAGGCTTCCAAGCACGGCGAGGTGGAGCGCCGCGCGGAGAGCCTGGAGGGCGAGCTCCGGGGACTGGCGGACCGCTGCCGCCTGGAGACCGCCGCCCGCAAGGCCGCCGAGCGCGACGTCCCGCGGTGCATGGACCTGTTCAAGGAGGCGAGGGTGGCGTGGAAGGACGCCCGGGTCGTGGCGGAGGGCAAGGACCGGGAGCTGGCTTCCGAGATCGCTGCTCGCGAAGCCGCCGAGCGCAACGCCAAGCGGTACACAGATCTGTTCGCGGAGGCCAGGGCCGCGTGGTCGAACACCCAGACGATCGTGGAGAACAAGGAGAGGGAACTCGCGGCCGCCGAGGCGAGGATGATGAAGACGGAGGCGGGGGGCGGCTTCGGCTCCCTTCAGCACCGCCTGGAGGACGCCAGGAGGGGCAGGGAGCTGGACCGCCAGCAGTCCCTCGAGCTCAAGCTGGCCCTGGAAGAGCAGCTGGCGGCCGGGGGCGGGACTTCTGAGGACGAAGGCCGTGGCAGCAACGTCGATGGCGGCGGCGGGCGCGCAGCGGCCGGGGAAGTGCCGCGGGAGGGTCGAGTCGCGAAGGTGGGGGCACGGCTGGAAGCGGCCGTAGTTGCTGGGGCGACCCTAGCCGCGGAAGCCGTGCCAGCCCTACTAGCTTCCGTTGAGACCAAGGCTGCTACCGGCCAAGCCGCCGGTGGCGGTGGCGATAGTGGAAGTAGAATCGCCACCCCCCGTCAGGGTGTCGAGAGCCGGGGGCCGGGGAGGGCGGAGTCCCTGTCGCCGACACGGCAGGTGATCCTCGAGAGGGAGCGAGTCGCGGCAGCCGAGGCGAGGCTGGCGGAGGTGATTGCTGCTGCGGCTGCCACGGAAACGTCGAAGAAGATAACTGCGGACTCCCTCCAGCAGCAGAAGACCCGGCTCAAGAACGCTCAGCTGCAACAGCAGCTGCAACAACATCAGCAGCAGCAGCAGCAGCAGCAGCAGCAGCTTGTGCGGCAGCAGCAACAACGGCAGCATGAACAGCAACACCGACAGCATGCACAGCAGCAGGAACAACAGCTCAATCGCGCCTCGCTCTCGCCGCCCTGTCTCCGCCTCCGCTTGCTCCGGGACTCTCGGCCACAGATCTGCAGCAACACACGGTTGGGGGCGATGGTGGTAGCGCTAGCGAGCAGCTCTCGGCCTCCGCCGGAGGAAACGATGCTGGCGTTGGATCTGGCTTCGCTCGTCTTGATATCGGCTCGCCCCCGACGGCAGCAAAGCGCTTTTCCGTACCTCCGTTGGTCTTCGCTGGCCTGGCCGGGGAGGGAAAAGGCGTAGAGAAGTGGGTCGGTCAGCCGCACGGGCAGCACGCTCTCACGCTGCTGCACGCGCCGGAAGAGAATGATGTCTCCGACGCTGGCAGTGGCTCTTTCGAGGCCCTCCACCCCTCCCTCACCACCCCCAACATCCATACAGGCCGTGAACGCGCAGCTGGATCTGGCATCTATGGCCGATTTTCGGAGGGTACCCGGTATGATCATGACGGCCACGTCGCCGGTACCGCCGCCGATAGCGGTATGGGATCCCCGATTGCGTCGGCAGAGACTGCCCGAAACCTCGTTTCGGCCTCCGGTGCTGCCACAGAAACCCCGGGCGGCGCCGAAAAGCTGTTCCGAGACTACAGCAACACCTACGGCTCCAGCGCCTGCGGTATCGCCGGGAGGGGGGCTAAGGAGCTTATCCTACGGGCAGGTACGTTCCTGGAGAGGCTGGAGAAGGTCGGGAGCGGGGAGGAGGGGTTGATCATGCTTGAGGTTGACGGGTGCTCCGTCGTGAAGGTGGTTATGGAGGAGAGGAAGTTTCTCGAGCTCCACGAGACCAAGGTGAGAGCGGCGGGTTGGGTAGAAGGAGGGCGAGCGGGGGGTGTCCATGAAAAGTTTGGTGGCTTCCGCCTGAAACCGTTGTTTGGTGTGTTTTGACGAGGAGATGATACAGGACACAACCACGAGGAGCATGTCAGCCACTTTTGAACCTTGCCCACGTCATGCCTAGCGGCATAGCCCTGTCCGGGGTCTCACAGTAATACCTACACAATCGACCAAGGACCCTAAACCCCCAAGGCTACCCCCCCCCCCCCCCCCCGAGAGGTGAAGCGAGGTGGGCTTCACCTGCACTTCGTCTGTACACCAAGGATGCGCACGGGTGCGAAGGGCACGCTTCTGCAAAATCCCCGGATACAGCTTCCCCCTCCTCTGTCTTCCTTCCATTGAGGTTAAATGCCGTTTCTGTTTGCTTGAGGTCTGAGATTGAATGGGTTTTCCTCCTCAGGGGCACAATCATGGGGCAGGGGGCACACACACGATTGCAGTCGTGGTTAGACTAAGGAGTAGGGGGAGCTTCTTTTTTTCTTCTGCCGCTTGGGATTTCTTTTGTAAGGTCGGGTACGAGGCAAGCACTGTAAGATGATGTTACATCATTGTCCGGGCAGTGTGCTGTGCTCGGCGGTGGCAATCTGAGTCCCACGTCCATTCGCCCTTCCACCACAATGTTTTCTGCAGTTTGGGGAACTTATTCAGTTGCTAAGGCCTGACTAGCTCTTGCACTTGACGTTGCTCTCGTTGCTCTTTTTGCGACGCGTACAGGAAGGTGTCGGCGAGCTCCTTACGGCCCTGGGTGCCACGTGCTCCGCTCTCTGAGGTACCGCTCTGTCCGGTGGTCGCGCTTGATGAAGGAGGCTTCCACCACATCGAGGGCGCTGCCATTCTGACGTGCCTCGAAAGCCAGAGACGCGTTCTCCTGCTCCTATATTTCGACGTCGCATTTCAACTTTGCTGCGACTGACACACGCCGGGAGTCGTGCGGGGGGCTGCACAAATGGTACTTGTCGTCCGTGAGAAAATCTGTGGCTCTCTAGACGGCCACGGTGCTCAAAGAACAAGATTATTTCATCCATCCTCGGGACAAGGACAAGGTGGCGAGCCCCATACCAGCGAGTCGGCCATGTCGTGTTCGCTCTAGAGGTTGGTCCCATCTGGTGGGCGTGAGTCTTCGTCTGGTCTGGCATGCGTGAGAACAATTGGACGTGACCGTTTCGCGAGGCTGTGTTCGGTTGCTCCGTGAGGCTTGTCCGGTTGCTCGTCAGAGGTCCGGTAGTGGTGCTAACCTTTCCCCCGCCAACCTGCCCGTTCTTCCACGAGTGAGTGAACATGCTGGCGGAAATGCTGACAGTTTTTGAATGTACGGGTGGGTGGGCGCGAGTGCAACATTATCGACATACTGAGACGCTGGAACAATCGAAGGGGTTTGTGAGGGAGCCGCGAACCAAGTGCTTGAGTTGAATGAAACGAAGCACTTGCCTGATCTGAAGAGGGCGGATTCGTGGGTGGATAGCAGCAAGGTGCGATAGAATGAACGAACATAGACTACATGCGAAATTGTTGATCAATGTCGGGTTGAACTACTGTACCTGTCGTGGTCCAGAATGACCTTGTGTCGTGCGGAGGATCAAACGTGGGTTGGAATGAGCCAAACTGAAACTGGGCGTATGTTAGCGGGCAACCGTGCCGTGGCAAAGTAGAACGGCGACAAGAGCACAGTGGTGTGTCCAAGGATGAACCTTGTGTATGGCGCGGTATGACGGTACTTAGACGCTGCCCTCTCTCGGTCTCACATCTCCCGTCTGAGTCGGCGTGGTGCGATGAAGAAGGCACTGGAGAAAGATGGAATGCTCGAAAGGAGCCAGAACCCTGCGTGCCGCGGCAGGCCCTTTATAAAGTAGGAAAGTAAAGCATAGAGGGCTGCAAAAGGAGGTGGGTGCTAGGAGAAACAGTGAACAGCAGTCGCGTGTTCAGCAGGTCAGCAACATGGGGTGCATGCATGCAGGTTTCGAAAGGTCGGGCGAGAGGGTTACAGTGAATCCACAGGCTACGGATGGCGAGGCGAAAGAAGGTACAACAGACGTTGGGTGACAAGGGGGCGGCGGAATGTGCGTGTGAACAGGCGCCGCCATTGTTGTAGTAAGATAGCACCGGCGGGGGTCGAGAGTCGAACCGGCAGTGAATGAGACGGTACGTGCTGCTATAGGTGCCAGCAGGGTCCAGCGACGCGGACAGGATTTGTTTTTGCTAGCGCGAGATGATGAGTCTACCGATGGAGTGTTCGTGATGAATTGAGTCGCGTGTGGAATGAATTTCGAGGGAAAAAACAACTGGTGTCCCATCAAGGGGGAACCAAGTGTGTGCGTGTGAACAGATTTTTTGCCATTCGGCCGAAACTCCAATGGCAGGAGAGCCGGCCTCGACTGCCCGTTCTTTTGTCGAATCCCTTCCCAAGGCTCGATGCAGCAAGTGAAATCGGGGATTGAAACCAACCTTTCAAAGGCAAAATCGCACCCGAGTGACATGTACCAGCCCCAAAAAGCAAGTGGTCGTCAATTCTGCACAATACGCAAGCGTGGGATGGGTGAATTCATGTCTTCACGGCATGCATAGTCTGTACCTGCTCAAGCTCTGAAGAACTCCAAGTCACTGACGAAGGTTCCGACTCGAACAGCGATATCAAGGCTCGACACGGGTACTGCCAACTATGTAGGAATGGAGACTCTGTGTGTGGTCTCCAACTACCGACAAAGGTCAAAGGCCGATGCGCCTTGTATAGCGCCGGAAAAACAGGCCATCGAGCTCGTACACAGCACCCGAGAACTTCCGTTCGATGTATTGGCAGACCGCATCTCTGTTATTCTTGCACAATGTAGCTTTGCAGGGATCGGTTAGTGCCAATCTCGCGTATCTCTGCCAGTTCGACCATATCACACAGAGTATCGGTCATCTTCTGCCACTCGCTGTTTGCCGCCGTCGTCTTACGCTCACCACTCCGTACCTCCCTACTACTCTTATTGCCATCCATTCTGTCACTTCATAGCAGCACACCAGATATCAATGCTCTCGTCAACTGATATTGGTTATGAAGTCTCTCTCTTACTCTCGCTCTCCCTGTCTCTACTCACTAGTTCTCAGGCTGGCAACGAGGAACGTACGATAGCCGTCCCCGCTGCCAAATTCACTCTCGCGCCCCCCTGTCTACGCGGCATTCGATGCCATGATGTATCTCGAGAGATGTTTCACAACTCCCTGCCGAAGCAAACGAACTCAATCCTACAGGGGTGAGACGAAATCACATTTCAAGGCGCCCCCTGCGCGTACGACCGCATCTCGCGCTGCCCATCGACGACTGGCGAAGCAGACGACCGGGATACCGCCGACCACGCCCCGGGAGAAGACCGCACACCCGCCGGAGAGAGCGGGGTGGTTGTTGCGGTCCCCTCTGCGGGGCCCCCTGTTACCTTCGGCGTTAGACCCACGCCTCGTGGCGTCTCCCACACCGTCTGCCCCCTGGCTCGAGGCTGCTGTCGGTGCGCGCTGGACGCACTGCTGTGGCAGTCTTCTTCTGCACTACCGCCGCCCCCGGCGGGCATGTGACCTCTCGAAGAGGAATCGCCGACGGTTTTCGGTGTAAGGCCCACGCCTCGCGGAGTCTCCCACACCGTCTGCCCCCGGGCTCGAGGCTGCATACGATGCGCGCTGCTGGAATAACCGCAGTCTTCTTCTTCTGCACAACCGCCGCCCCCAGCGGAAGAAACGGGGCCAATCGAACCAGCACCGACCGCCTTCGGCGTTAGACCCACGCCTCGTGGCGTCTCCCACACCGTCTGCCCCCGGGCTCGAGCTTGATGCCGGCGCCCGTCTGCTTCGCCGTCGGTGGTTTCGACGGGCATACTGTTCTGGGCTCGTGGCGTCTTCGGCGTTAGACCCACGCCCCTTGGAGTCTCCCACACCGTGTGCCCCCGGGCTCGACCGAGTCCCTCGATGCCCTCCGCTTCAGCGGCGACTGGCGTGCCTCTCTGGGCCCCCGGTGTTGTCTTCGGCGTTATACCCACGCCCCTTGGAGTCTCCCACAACGTGCAGCCTCTATCCCTGCGAGGGCCGGAGGAAAGCGGCGAGGCCCTCCGTGCTCCCGGTGTTGTCATCGGTGTTAGCCCCACGCCCCTCGGGGTCTCCCACACCGTGCAACCTCTGTCCCGGCGGGGGGCACTGCCGTCCGTCCCCCTTCGCGTCGAATCGGTCGGAGATGAAAAATGTTCTAGCTGTTCATGTTGTTTTGGCTGCGGCTGCTGCTGCTGCTGCTGCTGCTGCTGCTGCTGCTGCTCCTGCTGCTCCTGCTTCGCGTCCGACGCCGCCTCTTGCACATCCCTCAAGTCCAGCACGGGCTTGCGACCGGTACCGTCTGCTTCGCCGCCTCTGCGGAACGCGGGTGGCACCGTTTGACGAGCTCCCACACCGGCTCTCCCCCCAGCGAACAACAGGGGTCCCGAGCCGCCCTCCTCGATGTTGCGAACTCTCTCACGGAGCCGATCCCTCGCCGGCCCCCCCGCGGCCCTCAAGAGCTCCTCCGCCAGGGGCAGGAACGCGGCGGGTGGACGACCCCCCGCCTTGGCTACGCCTCCGCCACCATCACCGCCGCCGCTGCCGCCGCCGCCGCTGCGTCTGTCGCCGCCGCTGTCGCCTCCGTCGCCACCGTCGCCGGTATCACCGGCCCCACGGCTACCGCCGTGTCTCGCGAGCACCGCGCCCGCCATGGCCAGGAGGTCTGGGTCGGCCGCAAGGCAAGCCGAGGCCTTGGGGCAGAGGAGGGCGGCGGCGGCGGTGGACACGCACAAGGAGGACGACGACCCCGGCACGCCGCTTCCGGCCATTCCGGGAGCCCCGCGGTCGAGGAGCCAGGAGAGGCGCGCCTGGACGCGGACCTCTGGAGAAAGGCGAACCTTCATGGAGACGAAAACGTCAGCGACAAAGGGGTCGGAGTTAATAGTATTTCGCAGTCTTGGCCTAGAGAGGCGGCGGGGGGGGGGTGCAGCCATGTACATGCATGCCGTAGTCGATAGAATATTGACCTCGAATCCGTACAACGCCGGGGCGGAGCTCGGCGTAGAGGGCGAGGAGGGGAATCGAGAGAGAAACGTGAGAAAGATGCATGATGTTGAATCACGTGCATCCCTTGCCATTCAACGGAGACAGAAACACAATCCCGCGACGAGGAGCACGCGCGAGCGGGTGCCGTCGGAACAAATTCGCGTGAACGGCCTCAAAGGTAGTGTCGTTTCACAAAAAGGCTGACACGAAAAGGCTGACCAACCAGTGCACACGAAAAGGCTGACCAACCAGTGCACACGAAAACCCATCCCGTCGGCAACCTGTTCAACGAAAACAATGCTACTGAGACCCATGTTTATGGTCGCCAAATCTTTGCGAAAATGTTTATATTTCCAAACATTTGCGGATAAAGATTTTGTTTCACTGTTTATCGGAGAAAATATTCGGCAAAACATTCTCAAACATTTTGAAATGGGGCAGGTCGCGAAAATGTTTCCCAAGAGCGGCGAGATTAGTAGCCGACCGTCCCTTCCGTCCTAAACACCAACCACTGCGCAGCGCACACTCAACGTAGCAAGCTCATAGAGGGATCCGGACAACCCTAGAGTCACCGTGTCAATGTTTTGCTGGCTGATACATGGCGGGAGCTCGTCAAGCGTGCACAAAAAAACAAACAGACAGGGGTGGTTTGGAGGGCACGGAGAAAGCGTGGTTTGTGTCTCCGAACGGCAAAACGTCGGCTGCTTGAGAGGAGAGGTGAGCACAAAACTATCCAGCTCTCGTCCTCTAGACCATCGATTCATGTTTTGTTTTCTTTGGTGTCTTCTCCATCAACGGCTCTCATCCGGGTGTGCGTGGTTCAGCAGTGGACGTACTCAACAGGCAGGGAGGCGCGTCGCTGTGAACCCGATGTGTTGAAAAAGTCTTTTTTTGGGACGGAGGAACAAGCCCTCTATATTCAAGTGAAAAAATAGACCGAAAAAAACGTTGTGTCCACAACTTTGCGCGCACAACGATGTGCCTCCCTGCCGGCTGAGCGCGGCCACTGCCAACCCACGCACAACCGGATGAGAGTCGTTGATGGAGAAGACACCCAAGAAGACAAAACATGAATCGATGGTCTAGAGAACGAGAGCTGGATAGTTTTGTACTCACATGTCCTCTCAAGCGGCCGACTTTTTGCCGTTGGGAAGCGCTGACGCACGTTTTGGTGTCTTTTTGACACCGAGAACATTTTTTCTCGCACGCCCAGAGCGCTTTCGCCACATATTGGCGGGCACAACATCAGCTCAGTGCATCAAGGGTTGTGGGGAGCCTTTTGCGAGCTCGTTACATTCAGTTTCCATGACGCATTTGGTGTTTGTCACAAATCGTTTGGTAGCAGTAGACAAAGATTCCCGCCGCACGTGCGATGCATTTCGAGAAAACCACACGATAAAGATTTTTTTGCCCATAAAAACGGTACTCAAATGTTCCTCTGGCAGATATTCGCGCGCACATGTTTGACAACATTTGGAGATTTTTTCCAAAGATTTGGCGACCATAAACATGGGTCTGAGGCAGAAGGGCCTGTAAAGCAAGACCATAAAAAATAAAAATAAAATGGAGCACGCGTGGCAACGCGCACGGAACCTTCATGAACTAGGGTGGACAACAAAAACCGATCCACACACCTGCTCGCAGAAACGGTCGAAAACCGTTTCCGCGGTGCCGAGGAAGGCTCGCTCCTGTGCCTCTTGGTCCGGTTCCCGGGCGTGATCAGTCGAAAGGGCACCACCTGTTGCCGTGCGTGACGACCCGCCTCTCGAGAACGCCGTGTCCATCACGCTAAGAATAACACACGAGGGGAAACACGCGACCGAAAGTACGATGGGTTGTTCGGCCGGTACAAGCTTTTGCCGAGCAGCGAGGACAAGCGATCGTGCGATATCTATCAGGGTCGTGTCTACCCCTGAAGCCCTGCCGCCCTCCGCTACGTGCTACCGCATCTAAAACAATTCCGCTTCATGCTGACGAATGAAGGTGTAGCACACGACCAAATCACAAATCAGAGGTGACGGCCGGGCACGCCGGGTGGCGCTACACCAACAGAGCAGGAACGGAACAGCAACCACGCGGGCGCTTCCGCTCCCGCCGAAAAGGGGTGCCCTTCCCCCCGGTGAGGTAAAACACCAAGCCGCACGTACCCAGCAAAACGACAGCTACTTCTCAAGAGGGTCACTACAAGCAACGCTGATTTATGAATTGCCCCCACACACACCGTATATACGGTATATCTGAAACTGTTGCCAACCTCCACGTACAACACCCGTGCAGCCGCGAACGGCGGTGGAAAAAAAAAAACGCCACGATTCACCGCAAGACGCCCAACACTTCCTACCTGTACGCCACCACCGCCAGCCCCCGCTCAAGCAACGACCCGAGGGCCTCGCCCAGCTTCTCCGCTCCCCCCCCTACCCCAGACCCCAGCACCCCATCCACGTCTTCGAAACCCTCCTCCCCGGCGGCGACGAAAACGTCTCGCAGGAGCGAGGTCATCTCCGCCAGGACCGCCAACGGCGCGCCGGCGCCGCCACCGGAAGGACAACACTCCCCGTCGCCGGTGTCGTCGCCAGCAGTGATGACAGAACCGACGACCTCGTTCTCATCCGCCTTTGCGCACCGCCGGGGAGCTTCGCCCTGTCGTCGAATCCCCGCCCTCGCCGATAGACCGCCTCTTTCCCTCAGGCGCTCGAGCAGTCTTACCGTCGGCGCGGCAACTACCGCCGCCGCCGCCGCCGCGTGTACCGGGATCGGTCGCACCAACCCCGGCAAAGACCCGGCTACGGTACGACTAGACTCCTCCTCCCCGCCGGCCGCCGCACTCGGCTCCGCTACCCTCACTGAGGCCGCCGCCAGGGGCCGTCCGAGTCCCGACACCAGTATCCACGCTGCGCCGGAAGACACCCGAAGCGCCAAGCGGGCGGCCAGAGCGGCGCGGCGCAACCGGGAGAGGAGCGGGGCCGTTTCCGCCAGCCTGGCGGCCTCGAGCCGCTGCGTTGCGGCTAAGTTCAGACGCCGCCGTCGAAGCCGCAGGACGCCGACCGGGACCGGTTCCGGGTAAGAGGCAGTGGCCGCCTCGCAGTACTGTCGGCAGCGTTCCTGGGAAAAATAACGAGGGTGGTCGAGGGTGGGGGGGGGGAGGGGAGTACTCATAGTCGTGCATGCCGTAATCGTTAGACCGTTGACCTCGCATCCCTACAAAGCCGGGGTGGGGGTGGGGTTGGGGATGCTCACGAAATGTCGGGACAATGTATGCACGGCCTACGCGTTCCTTGCTGTGCACCGTATCATGCCTTCCATTCCATGACAACACCCTGCGTGGTACGGGTTGCCGGCCGGCAAGCCTTGATCGAAGACCAGAAAAGCATAACTTGGCAAGCGGCAAGAAGACGAATCGAACATGTCGGCTCACTCATTGGCCGCGTGCGAGGCGCATTCGACACCTCATGCGCCTCCTCGCTCGCAATCGAACTAGAACCGTAGATTCTTCGGGTGTGTGCGACGAGATGAAATTTAAAGTTCGGCGGAAATAAACAAACGCCATGTGTGCACCCCCCTCCCACGCGCGCCTTCAAAAATCTTGCGGCATAGAGGTTCTTCTCCGTCCCACACAAGCGTTGGCCTTAGCGTTCCTCCTCGGCTACCATCTTCGTGACACGACCTACTATCGGGACCAATCGCCGTGAAAACCCGGCCAGGATGCTACAAAGAAAAAACAAAAAAAAGACTAAGAGACAAAAAAACAAGACGGCACCCAAGAAACGAAAAGAAGGAACAACCAAGAAGAAAAACGAAGGACCAAGAACAAAAAAAACAAGGGACGACTAAGAAGCCAACAAAGAAATACGACCAAGAAACGAAAAAAGGCAACGAAGAAAAAAAGAACGACCAAGAGACAAAAAACAAGGGATGACCCAAGAAACGAGAAAGAAAAAAACGACCAAGAAACGAAAAAAGGAACAACCAAGAACAAAAAACCGAAACGACAGAGAAAAAAAAAAGGGGGAACAACCGACAAAAAAAAGCGAAACGGACAAGAGCTCGCCGCAGAAGGACTCACGGTCGAGGCCTCCAGGATACGCTCCGCTTGCCGAGAGCGCCTTGCCAGCGCTTCAAGCGTCACCGCCACGTCATCCAGCCACGGCACTGACGGCCAAGACGCGCCCGGCGGCGCCAGCAGGGCCGCCGCCAGAGAGCTAGCTTCGTCCCAAGCCTCTAGGGCCACCGCGGCCGCCCACTCCTGCGATGTAGAGCACCAAGCACGACCACCGGCAGGCGGGTATCATACATTTAACTTAAATCCTTTTCTATTTCTGGTTTCATTTCGGGTCAGCTATTGTGGCACTCCTGCAGTAGAGTAGCAGGCACGCCCAACGCTAGGAGTAAAGGTACATGCAACTTTCTCTTCATATTTCAAATCTGGTTTAATTTCGGGTTAACTATTTAGCACTCCTACAGCAGAGCACGAAACACGGTCAACGTTTGGTGGGGTATCGTTCAATTTTTTTTTTCATACGGAGTATATTAATTCTGGTTTCATTTCGGATCAGCCATTTAGCGCTCCTGCAGTAGAGCGGGATTTGCGGCCAACTTACAGGCCTGGTACCATCCAACTTTCTTTGTATTTCAATTCCGGTCTCATTTCGGGTCAGCCATTTGGCACTCCTGCAGCAGAGCACGAAGCACGGCGGGCGTCATTCGCCAGTTTGTCTTGTTCATTCTCGTCTCATCTGGGGTCAGCTGTGCAAAAAAGAACCCCGCTATCTCTTCGAAACCGAGTATCGCTGCGCCTGTTTCGAGTAGACTCACGGTCAACGTCATTCGGCAGCTTGACTTTCGCTTGATTCTCGGTTTGCATCTACAAACACCCGTCATGTTGCTGGTCCTGGTCCCCCCCCTTCTACCAGAACATTGGTGGCCATGCCTGATATCTAGTTCAGACAAGCGACAGTTTTTTCTTTCGCCACTACCAAACTCCCATCACACGTAGCCGTGTCACACCCATCATCTACTACTGCAATCCATTTCTCACGGACACGTTTCCCCGCTAGTTGTAGTCATGTTCCGTGCTCTCCGAATGTGCGAGTTTTGTTCCAACCTTTCATCCTGCCTTGCAACATGGGCACGCCATTTCCATCGCCACCGTACCCCGTCCTCCCTTACCGACATTATACGGCCCCCCCTCCACATCAATATTTTCACCTGCACCGGGCGAGCGCGCGGCAGCATCCACTCCCCCCCCCGCGGAAGCACCACGGCCGTCAGCGACCTCGCAACCGCGGGGCCCCTCCCCAGCGCCACGGCGCCCTGCAGGCGGGCCGCCAGCAGCATCAGCGGCGACGGCGCCGCTCCCGCCGCCGCCGCCACCGAGTCGTGCTCGCGGTTGCCGTCTTCCGGCTCAAAGAAGGAACGGGCCCAGAGGTTGTCCGGTCCGCCCACGACGTGGCCCAGCGAGGCCTCTCCCACGGCGTTGACGTCATGCGCGGTGTCGGCGTCCAAGTCTTCCTGAAATCCGCGGGAACGACCGAACAGGGGTCCCGCCGAGGAGGGGGGGGGGGCGGGGGGACGTTGACGCGGAAAGTGCCCGGTACGGTGACGGGTACAACATGCTGAATCGGTACAAAACAGGTTCTGCGAAAGGCACCCGAGGCTCACAAATGCTCGAAGGAGACTACGTTGTCGAGCCCAACGGTACAAAGGAAGTCGCGTATGCCCTTCGCACTCGGCAAATTTTGAAGTCCCCGCCACTGCTACCCTCGCGCGTCTACTCCCCGCTTGCGCAGGACACATTAACCGCCGCCCCCGTGGCGCAAACAGTTTCCGTCCCGACATGCCTCTATGCGACGCAATCCCGCTGCTGTAGCCCAAGGCTGAGGGTGCTCTCATAGCCGTGCATGCCGCCATGGAACTCACGCCCTTTACAAAGCGCCGGGACGGAGCACGCCTGGTTTTCACTGAACAACCAGAGGCTACCACGCGACCAACCAAGCGTCGTGAGGTATTCGGCGATTCGCATCGAGGCGCGGCCCTACGAGACACGCCGTTCCCCCTTTTTCCCCGCACACACCTCGGAGGGGTCGCAGTAGGCGAGAAGGCCTAGTACCTCCGCGTCCACCGCCACCTTGTGCGCAAACCCCGCGTGCGACTGCTCCCAGGCGCGGAGTCTCGGCCTGCCGGTCTCGTCCAGCGAGGCCTCCGCCAGGATGACGGGGAACTTGAGGTGTAGCTTGTCCTTGTCCGGTGGTGATGGTGCTGGGAACGGCGGTGCAAGCGCTGCCCGCAAAAAACGGAAGATATTGTGAGCAAACAAACAAAATTAATGCCGGTCTTGGCATGAACATGAGCTAAAAACTACCTGTATTTGCCGTTCGTCCATCTCCCCAGCTTTCTCTTTCGCTCTCTCTCTCTCTGTCTCTCTCTCTCTCTCTAGTCTCTCTTTCTGTCTGGCTATCTCTCTCTCTCTCTCTCTCTCTCTCTCTCTCTCTCTCCCTCTCTCTCTCTCTCTCTCTCTCTCTCTGTTGCTGAGCGCAATATTTCATAGGACGGAATTGACAGCAGTCGTGAGAATTCTGAAGCGAGGTGGCGGCATTGAAAAGGCGGCATTGAAAAAAAGGCATATTTTCTTCCAGGGCATGGTTGTGTCTTTAACAATGCACTACACAGCACAACCAAGGCCGCAACAACATGGTAATCAAAGCGCTCCCTTTCGGCCCTTCTGGTTGGTCATGGGACGTACGAGCCTTGCCATCAACAGACTGAGATACCCCCAGGGGAACGGGGACCGTACCTTCCCAACAGGAACGTTAAAACCCAGTTGTAATGCGTGTGTTTGTTGAACTAACTAAATCTTCCTGAAAATATTAACGTTTAGCTGTTGGAAGGCAGATCACTCAAAGCCATTGACTCTGAAAATACAACAACAGCAGAGACGAACGCCTTCACAAAACACACACACACACACCTGACGAGCCGGGCACAACAACAACACCATCATCCCCGTAGCCCCAACGCCGTCGCCGCCGTCGGCACACGAACGCCTTAAGCTCGGCAGGGTCCACGAAAACAGCGTGCGGCCTCGCCGGGAACACGCTCTTGCTGCAGCACCTCGTCGCAAGCTCCACCTCGTGCTCGTCCTCCCCCTCCCCCCCCTCCCCCGAGACCACCACCCCTCCTCCTCCGTCCTGGAGACAACCACCACCACCACCACCACCACCATCGCCATCGCCATCGACGCCCCCCCCCGCCGAGGAGGGCCAAAGAGGCTCCGAGTTCTTCCCCTTCTCCCCCATCGTCGCGAAACCGTCAGCAGCAGCAGCAGCTGCTGCTGCGGTGGTTGCGGCGGTGGCCGCGGCGAGAGCGCTGTCGGTGTCCAGGACGATCAGGACCGGCGAGCCGTCCAAGGGGCGGAAGGAGGCGAAGATCATGACCGGTAGCGAGCGGCCGCCGCCGACGGCCATGGCCCGGAGGCTTTGGGGACGGACCCCCGGGATGAGCGACCTCTTCCGGGCAACGAGAGGAGGCAGAGCCTGGGGATAACGCATAAAAAGAAGGGAGGGGGGGGGGGGGGGATTTGGTCGCTGGTAGTGAGTGGGTAGACTCGTTTGTGGACAATCGCCAGCAGCAACACTGTTGTGTGTACACGCGCCGCACAGAATCTTGCCATGCATGGAACAATGCGCCGCCGTAGATGCGTGCATGCCCCAACTCTCTCCATTTCAGAAACCAATTGTTTTTCAAAACAGAATGCTTTCTTCCTTGTCTCCCTTCTTCTTCTCTTTCTCCATTCCTCCTCCCCGTTATCTCGCGCTCCAAAACCGCACCAGCTCGCCACCTGTCCGTACCTGAGGCCGAGAATAATGCCCGCCCGCCAGCAACAACTCAAAGCATAGGAAACCCGAAGCCGTGGTGACCCACAGCAGAAGCTTCGTGCACGGCTCCCCTACGGGCGACAGAGTTCTTGGCACCGTGTTCTCCTGGGTCGCGGCACCGAAAAAAGACAACCACGATATGTGTCTGAGTTAAAATTATACTTCCGTCTGAGATAAATTCGCACGTTATCGGATAGCAGCGGCACGTCGTCGGATAGCACACAGCAGTTGTTTTCGCTCTCCACGAGAAAAAACGCTAAAATGCCAAGGGCATCCCCACCTGTGCCGATACGCGGCAAGCCGCTGCATTCCAAGTCATGCCCCAGTCCGCGTATCGACATCAGACATGTCCTCTTAGGTGTGAAATTTTTTTATTTTTCGTCTTGCTTAACCGCCCTTGTTTTGTCCGCCACACTACTGAGGGGCCCAGCATCCTCATCGGATGAGGGGGGGGGGGATGGCGGAACGTGCACCGTCGTCCCGCGCCAGGCTTTCCGTCCAGCTGGACATCGATCGAAACGCCAACGATCGAAGTTGTGTTGATACAATCATGACGAGGGGAACCGATCGTCGGCGGCGGTGCCACCAGGCAAAGAGTGCACAGAGCAGCACTGGCTCCTCTGTGTGACATAACTGTGTGACATAACTGGCCAGACGAGGGCGTTCGATGAAACTATAATATCACTCCGGGAGGGCCGTAGTGCATCAAGCAAACCAAGTTTGCTGTACACATGTCTCCCTCGCCTGCCGTCGGAAACACCCCGTAGCTCCAACTCAACGCTTCACCGTGTCACACGCTATTCATTGATATTGCGATGTATGTATCACAAGGTGCCCCCCTCGCTCTCCTCGCGGGATTCCCTGGACCCCCCCCAAGACACACCTGGCACACGAAATGCAGTGCGGGGCCCAAACCGCTCGTGTCGCCGGTCGCCAGGTCCCCCGACAACGGCGAGCACGCCTCCGCCCACGCGTCCTCAATCCCCTCCGCCAAACTCGAACCGGCGTCAATCCCGCCGCAATTGCTGTCGGGCCGTGAGTAGCAGCACGGCGCCACCGCCCAGCTCCCGTCGCTCCAACCGGCCGCCACCATCGCCACAACGACAACGCCACGGCCTGGAGGCACACGGTCCTCCCCGTCCCCGGCAACGACCGCCACCGAGAACGCCGACAGGGACGTTATTGGAACTCCCTCTCGCTCAGACGGTACGCCGCCGAACCCTTCCTCCTGTGCCGGCCAACTGCGGAACGGGCACCTCCGGATGCTGCTGCTATCTCTGCCCCTTTTCCCACTGTGCTCTTGTTGCTCCTGCTGCTGCTGCTGCCGTTGGGGTATCTGTGGAATACCGGAGCACCGGGACGTGGGAATAGGGGCTGTTTATACCAGCGAATGGGAGTGGAGGGTTTTTAAAAACCGTGTCGCTCCGTTCCAACGTAGGTGATTTCGACAGACAAACAGTTTTCGCTCTGCTAGGTTTACGCAAAATGTCAACGCGTCGGTGGTTTTCGACCAGCGGTTTGTGCTATTCCTCGAGACATTCCGCGCTCAGAACCGCAAACATTCGTGTGTTTTCTTGTCCATAATTTTGTTCACACGTAGGCCTAGGTTTGTACACGACATGTGAGCAAAACACACGGATACATGAGCACGTTGGAGACTTTCATACACGGCACACCGTTTATATGCAGTGCCCTTTCCTGGTGTACCTGGGGTGGGGTTCAACTTTCATACATATTTCGACAATTTTGTAGCCTTAAGTCTTAACTGCAATGTTCCGTAGTGCAGACTGAACCTAACTCTAACCCTATGTCGAACGCGACACAGCTTACGCATCAGTCGGCCGGACCAGCCTGTACAGGCAAGCATACCTGCAGCGCAAGCAGCGTGACCCGGCCTCCCACCCCCCCTACGGCGACCACGATTTCTTCCGCGTCAACCCCGTCGTCGTCCCCTGCGGCGGCGGCGGCGGCGGCGGCAGCGTCTGTCCAAGCCCCGCGCGATTCGCTTGCTGCTGCTACTGCTGCTGCCGACGACGACGGCCCGGCGTCCCCTCCCGAGCTTGACCGAGCCGCGCCTCCGCCCCCGCCTCCTTCTTGACGCGAAAGGCAACGACGGCTTTGGCTGGGGAGAGCTAGCCGGGGCACGACCGCCAGGCTCGTGAGAAGGATGGGCAGTCCGGTGGCCACGTGAAGCGTTTCTCCGGAGAAGGGGTCGACGCAGTGGACCTGCGCACAACAGCCAAAGAAAGCACGAGCTGTTTGTTGCCGCTTGGAAGAAAACATAGCAGGTGCTGCAGCCACACTCTCAACAGCGCGGCCCGCTGTGAATGTTGAATCGGTGCCGTGTCCGAGCATTCTTGACCACACAGCTTCCAGCGAATTGCTTTTCACCAGCGTTGGCGGCTCTGAGTATATGTACCGTTGCGAGCAGTTTGCCGGTTACAACAGGCGGACGGGAGTAACCTCTCCTATACTCTCCCTACCCGTGGTATCAAGAAATATCCTGGCTTTCAATGCCCTAAAAGCGTCTGAATTATGTAGCCTGACGGCGAGTCAATCAGAGAGGACTCGAGCCGCCCGCGACAGAAGTAACAAGAGGAGACCAAAATGACCGGTCGACGCCATCACAACCTAAGGCGCAGAGTCCTACAGTTCGAACGTCGTTGTGCGCCGACTCAGAACGAAACAGCCATCAGACATCATTCTCCTTGACGCAGATCATGGCCGGGCAAAAGGAGGTTCGCGTATAGCTAGAGAGGAGCAATTACACGGACCAGTGACATGTACACAATGAAAAACGAACTTGGGGCAAAGAACAACTTAGAGACAAGCAAGAACGGAAAATGGAGCAACAAGCACAGGGACCGATCGAACCCCCGTCACCAAACAGGCTGCTGCACCACCGCACCTCCGAATGAAGTTCGCGCTCAGAAGCAAGGCACACCAGGACTGTCCGGCCGTCCCTCAGCTCGAACGCCTCCACGGCACGAACCGACAGCTTTCCCGCCGCGTTTCTGGAGGTCCCGCCGCGTTTCGTCGGGAAACCTCCACTCCCAACGCGAGAAAAGGTAGGAGAACCACGCCTCGATCCCCCGCCAGCCGGCGGCGATCCCGTCGCGGCGCGTTGCCCATTTCCCGGTTGAGGAGAAATGCCAGCCACGTCCTTGGGAGAGTCCGGTGTACCGGGTTTTGATGGTATTCTTGTGGCAGCACCTGTCGTGCCCCTGATGACAGACCTAGAGTCCGTCACGCAGACGCTTTGGCCGATGGCTCCCGAGCCCAGGGCAAGAGTCTGAGGCTGCAGAGGCTTCGCCCTCTTGTTCGACAGGGGCTGGACCGTTCCGCGAACCGGTCCTCGTTCCCGTTCCCGTTCCTGCTCCGAGAGGAAGCGAAAGAGGGCCTGTACGGGCAGGCCGGTGGTCTTGTGCCCCGCGTGCGGCTCGAGACGGGCGGTGCTGTGAACGCGCAACTCGTTCTCGTGCGCCGACCAGCAGAGCTGGTCAAGAGACAAAATACGGCAACAAAAAATAACTTACAAACGGCGGCCGCCGGAGGGTCTATTTTCATATGTATAGGACGAAAGTAGTCTCACGCGGGTGACAGACGATGCCGCACCCTCTTCAAAACTGCACCTTCGAAAAATACCACACTGTTGACATCAATCTTGCTGATTCACGACTCATCTACAGCAGACCTCTCGTATACTATGCGTATGCACACGATAAACCTAAAAAAAGATTCCCACACGGGTGGTATCTTCCGCAACCTCACGCTATGCATACCACAAATTCAAAAATTCGAGTATTACCTTGTCTCTGCTCTATCGTGCCCGCAACACACCTGCAATACTAAACTAGCCACGCTTCTTGGCACGTCTGCTCCGACATCACGATAAGAATACACGTATGAATGGATATGCTTTGGGCAGGGATTCCTTGTGCACGACACGCACAACACGCGGTCCGCGAAGAGAACGATTTCGCCGGAATTTTTTGAATCACATCACTGCTGCACACCGCAGCAGCTTCTATTTCCTGTGAACTGCATGCGATAATGTGCGACATACCTCAGGAGATATGACTCCGGCGAAAGGACCGGACGAGACCATGCCTGCGGGTGCCCGATGCCTGTTTTGTAAGCAACAGCCGGGCTACCCCGCCGATGCTGTGATGTGGTGTCAACGGAGACAGCAACAGCCGGATTGACTACTCTCGCGCGCTCTCTGAAAAATGGGAGCAAAGCTGCAGAGAAGCCTCGCATGCACCTTGAGCTTTTGGGGCGGTACTCTGCGATCAGTTGGCCCTAGCCACTTCGGGTGAGTGGCTGGTAGTGTGCCGTGCTACTACCTGTAGTGCGCTTGGCTCGCCGTTGGTTGGTTTGGTGGTATCCTCTCACCCACATCTTCCCCCCCTCTTGATATCAGCTGCGGATGCCCCGATCAAACTCCGCACAAACTCCGCAGTCTCAAATCAAATATCGATAGCAGCGATCATCCGCAGCCAGCAGGCAATCAACAGCTCCAACAACATTAGGCATTCATTATCAGTTGAGGTTGTTTCTGTGGTGTTTTTTCCTGGGACCAAGCCGAAGTTCTTGTGACACGGCAAAAAAGGAGAGTTACTTCCTGACAACAAGGCCTGGGTGTACAACAGCAGTGTACGGCAGTACAGCAGCAGTGTCCAACATAACACATGCTGGAGATGGACATCGCCCAGGAGAGGTTGGCTGACAGCAACGCGGTGGTGGGCGTGAAGGCCACCTTCAGGGTTCAAGGGCAGGCGGTACACCAGTTCGACTCTTCCGGGAAAAAGGATTCGACGCCGGCTGCTGCTGCTGCTGTTGGGGAGGAGGTGAGAGCCGGTCTGTGTACCATATGGGCAACATATATGCTCTGCTCTACATTGGCAAGTGATCATTTCACCAGCAGCGGCATGCGGCGCAAAGGCACCCAACAGCAGCAGCAGAGCAGCAGCGGCAGCTCTTCTATTCCACCAGCACGGCTGATTTCAATGCGTTATCGTAGCAGTGAAAGCGGTTAGACCAAGAATAGTCTAGAGAAGAGCAGCCGAGCACGTGCGCTGCAAATCGCGTGTGTTGGGGGTGTCGGGTATTGTTGTTGTTGTTGTTGTTGTTGTCTTCACATGAAAACCCCTTTAGGGCTGGATCACCTTTTGGGGACACTTTTTGTCCCCATCTTCTTCACCTGCTTTACCTCGCGAAGATTGGCATGATTGTCTCCTCCTTTGCACCACTCGACCAGGGGGGTGCCAGGGTACACAGGGACGACTCTAGTCTAGTATGGATGCTTTGTAGAGTGGAGGAGTATGAGGGTAATGAACAGGTCGAATCGCGGGGCGATTACGCCGCCGGTTCAACAGCGAAGTTGCGCCGCGTCTGTTTACCCTTGGGTGGAAAGCGCTACTAGGGGCAAGCGCGGAAGAAGTACCTAGACCACCGTTGATAGGAGGCACCAAGCAACCTAGGGCTTGAGTTAGAAGGTCTCGCTTTCCCTCTGGAGAAATATCTTGAAAACCTCCTTTTCGTGCCCCGTTTACCACGCTCCCGCCAGTTGCTCTCTATAATCCCTATCAATTGTCCCCTCGTGTCCCCTCGTATGGAGGGGACAATTGATAGGGATTATTGACAAGAGACGGCTCAAGTTGGAAGGCAGCTTTGCACTTGCACCCAGGGATGGAACTGTCTGCACCATCCAATCAGCAGGCGTCGTTCGCTCTTTTTCTTACATTTCAGAAATTTCGCAAGACCGCCGAATTTTCTGTGCGTGGTAAGGGGTTTTAAAAACTGTTCCGATCTCTCTCTACCCAGTACCTTCGTATGTCCGTACTGATCCAACACTCGACGCGGTCGATTCCCGTGGTCACAGGTTAACTTACCCTAAAAATGCACTGTGACGGACGGTACCAGCAATCCAGTTATGCCGCAGATCGTCCCGGCACATATCCTGTGGTCCTGTGTCAAACGCCTCATCGCCAATGATACCAAACGGTGGCGAGGCTGCTTTCCAAGCTCGGTTGCTCCGCAAACCGGAAGCTGCACAAACCGCCGGCAATAGATTGGCTTCCACGAGATCTTTTTGAAGCGCTCCGTTTTGGCACCTCTTGGTAGAGGAGCAATCGATCTGAAGGCCGGCCTTGGATGTGTTCGATGAGCCACACACCTTCGGCAAACTCGTCAGCACTTGGCGTCCACCTCATCTTCGTTGCTTCCCTTCAAACTCGAATGAAAGTGCCCTTCAAACTTGATTGAAAATGTACACGGGGGATCACCAAGCCAGAGCTGCCGTGGCTGAGAAAACATGCAGCAGCAGCATGATATGTGCGAAAGCTTGGCATCAATGGCGTCGCCTCCCACCCTTCAACCGATGTATCACGTAGCAAGGCATGCGCAGCCGTGCAATTGACGTAGACCTTCGAGATCTCGGTAGTTGCCAATTTGAGCTTCGGCCTTCCATCAACGCGGCATATCGCCCTCTCTCTTCAAACAACCCCCCAACTATTTACCAACTTCCCCACTCCCGACGCGGCGTGTCGCCCTCTCTCCAAGCCAAACCCCCCACCTAATTACCAATTTACTCATTCCCATCCGTCCCATATCGATCATGGAAGGGTCCGGTAGAAGGCACGGATAAGTACGACTGCCGGTATACCGGGAGACACGACCATGGCACTCTCCCGGCGCTCAAGACCGGCGGCCCGCACGGGGAGCTCGTCAAAGCCATTCACGTGAGTTCTCCACCGTGACCGCGGAATCCTCGTGCGTTTTTTTGCGTGGCCGTGTACGGTGTTGGTGGTGATGGTAGGGTTGTTGTTGTTGCTACCGTTGTTTTGTTCTGCATTGTGTATTGTGGGTGTCGCTATCGCTGCCGTCATGTGCCCCCCCCCTCCACCCTCTCGAGGACGCTGTGGTCAGTTGTCTAGCTAACAGCTAAGGCTGTTTCCTTTGCGCGTGCGTCACGTGCGCCTCGTTTCCCAGCGTCCCGTCCCCCAAACCAAACGTTTTTGGTATCTATCGTACCCCCACCTACTTCCTCAACCGCGCGCTCCCGAAAACGCCGACCATGGTATCCCCTCCGTGCGCAACTCGGGTAGGACGCAAAGGCCGATAGCGATGCCTTCCTGACGGAATTGATAAACAAGGAGGCGAGCGCTAGAGATAGCAAACGCACCGAGGCCGATCCGGGGGGTGCTGCTCTAGACGGGAAGCCGGGCGCCACGGCTGGCGAAGCGATGGAGCTGGAGCCGTGTGGGGCCGGAAGGGGGGCCGAGGCGTCTCCGCAAGGGGTCCCGTTGGTGAGTCTGGTACTTGTCGAGGCCTTCCTTGGCGCGATGATTCTCGCGTTTGCTTCGAGGGAGCTCGTCGCGTGTGGAAGCGCGAAAATATGAGAATGGTGATGGAACAACCCCCTGTGGGTCGTACACGGGAACGGCACGAAGCTGCCTTGATGTCCATCGGCTTGTGCTGGTATGACACAACGTGACCTACAAACGAACGAAACATGATCCTGGCTTGATATGCATCACCTTGCAGATAGGCCGACGTGACCTTCCAAACTAAAGGCTGGAAAATACTCTGCGGGCTGTCTAGAGGTGAAAATTTCCTTAGGCCGACACGGACGATGTGTTGGCGTTTGGCGCACCCTTGTATCCTACTTGAAGCGGCAGTAACACAACTCCCCCCCGCCCCCTTCTCTCTCCCGCCCTCCCTCTGCCTGTCTGTGTGCGTTTCTCTGTCTCTGTGTGCGTCTGCTTCTGTCTTTCTCTGCTTCTCTCTCTCTCCCTCTCTCTCTCTCTCCCCCCTCCCCCCTCCCCCCTCTCTCATGCTATTCTCGCATCGGCTGTTGGTCACCACACCCTCTCAATAGCAGCCGCCGACACCACCTGAAGCACAGCCGGCGAAACGACCAAGACCATGACGTCACATCTACGTCGTCGGCTGGGATGGGTTCACCACTCTGTTTCGAGGGGGCCAGAAATTCAAACTGGAACGGCCCGTGCGCTCTATGGTCTTCACAGGCGGAGCAATGCGTTCCCAAGGTTGGATGGGGATCTAGCATCTTCTCCCTTGATGTTCTTGCGTGTCTATAGCCTAGACGTGTGCCCGGTAACGGTCCGTTGGTGCGAGCTACTACAAGTCATGGGTACTGCGGGGCCCCGGTGGTTGGCATGAACGCGGGGTTGAAAGAAAGGACGGAGCCAGAATTTGGTGGAACGGGTTGCTAACGGATGTGAGGATGGGCCTTACAGTAATGTCCACCCGCCTATAAAAACACAAGAACTGCGAGGGGATTTTTCAGGCTAACTGATCGAAAGGTTGCACGCTGCCAAATAGTAGAGAGCATAACAAGGACAGGAACTTGAGCTGCACCGTTCGACGTAGACACGCGTTGTGCACCTCATTTTGCAGCTGATACGCCTGGACAAGTCCCGAGCCGCTGTGCTCGATGCCAGCTGTGTGCCAGATACAGACGGACAAAATCTGGTTTCGACTGTAGTACTACCGTGGAGACTTCGAAATTTGATTTTTTTTCATGTTTTACCGAACATCCTCGGACATTCTCAATGGTACATACGGGGGAGAAAAAAGAAACAGAACGCATCACCCCCGGGCCAAACGTCTACGAGGTGCTTCTATTTTTTCTGTGTTTGCTTCATGATAGCACCTCACACGGACACACAAACACACACTTTCGCGGTGGACTTCTGTCACTGGAACCCACGATGTCGGGTCTAAGAATCTAAGAGAGGGCATCCACAGGAAGCGGAGTGTGGCGTGCCCCCGAGGGAACAATGAATCAGACGACAACGTGTTCTCCGTGGGATACGGGCCAAGTGTGGCACTTGCGCTTCGTGGGCCCAGCGATACCATGCAGTACTTTCGTGTTGGCCGTCGACACACCTTCGACAGCGCCGCTTGGTATGCGTTTGTCATTAGAAAGACTCCTCAAGAACACGGTGCTTTTTTTTATAGGGTGGAACTGACACCAAAAAAAGAAACGGCGACGACGATGACAACGGCATCATCAGCAGTAGGCTGCGGGAGTCAGTCGTGGAATGGAGTTTCCTCTAAATGCCCCGGCGAAAGCAACAAAAAAATCTTAACGCCCCAGGGAAATTGTGATTTTTTTTTGGAACGTACCCACAATCTCACAAAAAGACTGCCCGTTCGAGGTATAACCAAAGTCGAAAGGGATGTGGTCAAGTATTTACGGTGAGTGGAGGGAAACCGGCTGGAAACTGTCGAGTGTTTTAAGCCTATACACTGATGAGTTGTATCAGTGATGACTTCAGCTGGTGCAAAGAACAAAGTTTTGCGTAAGAAGGGTATGATGAGGATTTGTAGAGCATCTCCTCGGCTGGAGCCGTCCGCGCCCCCAAACCCGTGGTCCTTTCACTCTCGTCTCCGCGTGCTCTACTGTTACGAGATCTCCAGCAATGACATCAGCACACATACATATCGCACAAGCACCGTCGCACCAAGGGAGGCAGGGCGCGCGGGGGACTGAAACGGCGACATGATCAGCTGTTGAACAACTCCAGAGAGATGGCGCTCAATGGCGCTCCTGACACCCACCACATCGTCACTCGAAAAGGGAAGGTTATCGCCACAGGTCCCCAGACCTTTCCCTCTTCTGCGTTTATTTCCCTCGGAAGCCAGTTTGAAAGTCTTGCTGTTTTCGCCACATTAAAACCCCAACAAACTCTACAGAACACCAACCGATGCCCGTTCATGGTGTTCGGGCAAACTACAAAAAAATGTTGCGGCTTGGCTCGGGGGGAAAAACAATACACGTCCCCGAAGACCAACGCTACTACTGGGGTGTGCTGCCGAGACTGTGCACACCCACCCCCTTCCTTTCCCACGGACGCAATCTACCCATACAGACAAAAACAGCGACTACAACAAATGCATTCAACAGTCTTCGCGCTCAACGTCGGAACGGCTGAAGTCCAAGAACAACCCACAATGATTTATAGCGAGACCGAAAACGTGGGGTGCTGCACCCGTAGACTACTCCGTTTGAACCCCACCCCTCGCCCCTAGATCCCATCAATGTCAATGGAACAACAACGCATCAAATCAAGCTCGGACAGAACAATAACCGACTAACCCGCATCTTCTAATATATTGTACGCGGTCATCAGGTGTATGTTGTTCCCGTAAAACCATTTTTTTCTGCTGAATGAAGTACAAGATTTTGGCGCATCGTTTCCACATCGGAATAAGTCGAGGTCACGCCTCTAGGGGAAAAAAGAGCAGGCATTCATGTAGCCACCCTTTGCCAACCTTCCTCACCCCACCGGTTCGAATCTCCGTTTTATTAAGCGTTCAGATTCGGTCCCTTCAACCCCCCCGCGCTTCCACCAGCCCGCCAATCAGGTACTCAATGTTACGTATTAGGCCGCATTTGGGCCTTGTCTCTTTCGGGAAAACATCACCAGCAACATGTCGGTGCGACCATTTCACTCGCGAACGTACGTGCTGTCAACAAATGACGCAACGATAGCCCGCGATCACGAAGAACATAAACAAACGCACCGTTCGTTGCTCATAAGGCGGAGGGCGCACTTCTATCTCTCGTCTGTCTATGCCGGCACATTCTCGCGAAGCACTTCATCTTCTTCATGTAGAATGTGTGTTACCCGACATCGAAGACTTGCTCGAACTCCCAAGATACACCCAACCTCTCCTCCTTCTACACCACCGTGGGAGCAGACCAATGAAAAAAGGGTTCCGAGCGCGCTCTCTCGCTCCCTCGCACGCGGAATACCTTAACACGTCGCGCACGCGGAATACCTCAACACGTCGCGAGAAAAAGCAAGTAACCGCATGACCCCTTTTCTTCGCTCGCCACCAAGACCTCCCACACAATAAAATCTCCCCTTCTCGTCGATGTTTCTTTTTTCTCGTTTTTGATTCTATGGGGGAAGCGGCAGCTACACGTAGTGGCGCCTAAATCAAGAACACGACCGACAGCTTTTCTACAGGACTTCCTTCTTCTTGCTTGCAATGAGAATACTCAACGACAAAAACGAAAAATACAACTAAAAGGGGGGGGATTTTGAGACAGATCAAAGGCAGCCCGTGAAGAGCAGTCACAAGAATCAATGTCATCGTGCTCTCCCAAGCCGACCAAAGTTCGACTGGCTATTTCCGGTTCACCCAAACGCATCACAAGCGGACGGTACCGCCGGCACTTCCCCAAACCACTACATCTACGACTCAAAAAACAAACACGCACACAGGGACACCTACTCCGAACGCTACAAGCTGTTAACGCGAGCAAAGACGCTCACGGAAGGACGCGCTATTACACATGCAAACCGCTCATTTAATAGCAACAAGTACGAGGGGATTTTTTGACACAACCCTATCTTTAAAACAGAGACTAAAACATCGAAATCCTAATACCAATGACAACCCTCTTTATCAAGGGAGAGGCACTAAACGGCGGACAACCGACGGTTTGCCCAGGGTCTAATCAATCTACCGTCGTCACCGTTGACCAGGATGAAGAAGAAAAAACAAAGAAGAACCTCGCGTGAACAAACCACACCGCAAAAGACAGAAAGCGACAACGGGTGAGAGGGCGACCGCGGAGACAAGCGGTGAAAACAGCTACCTGGTACACCATATCACGACACACGCAAGAGGGTAACGAGCTCTGCTCGACCCAGAACGGGGCCAATGTATTTCGTTTCTTGCGGCAGTCGACCGCATAGTGCTCCCTCCTCCCCCCGTCTCTCTCTCGGCCCTACTCCCCTTTCCTCCCCTGACTGACGGTGCGAACTCAGCCGATGTCACACCGCATCCCGTGCTTGCGCCACCCAGCGCGCAGGCACCTAGAGCGAGTCGAGCCCGCCGAGGTCGTTGCTGTCACCGCCTGGCTGCTTTTCCGCCCAGCTTCCGTCAACACCTGACTGATTTCCCGCCCGGCTGCCTTCCCCAGCTGCCTGACTTCCCGCCCAGCTGCCGGCACCCCCTGCCTGATTTCCCGCCCAGCTGCCGCCACCCCCTGCCTGATTTCCCGCCCAGCTGCCGTCTCCACCTGGCTGATTTCCCGCCCAGCTAGACGCCGACGCCAACCCGGCAGCGAAGCCATGATCGTAGGAAGAAGTCGGAGACACGGATCCCGGTAACGGTGCCTCTCCGTACGCCGGAGGCGGGTACATTGAGACTCGTCGAACTGCCTGCGCCCCGAATTGTTGCTGTCCAGCGGGGGCGGCGGCGGCAGCGGGCGGGAAGAGTCTTTCCAGGCGGTTGTCGCTGTGGTGGCGCGGCGGCTTGAGCATGTTCTGGGAGAGGCTTGAAGCGGCGGCCGCGGCGGCCTCCGTGTGGCCGAACAGGAGGTCCCCCATCACGGCGAGCTCGTCGGTTGGCTGCTGCTTGTTCCCGTGCGCGACGTGGACGCTGGCGCTGCTGCTGATGCTGCTGCTGATGCTGCTGCTGATGCTGGAACGATTGTCGACGACCACAGCAGCACCGCTACCCGCCCCGCCGCCGCCGCCAGCATGCGCCGCTCGGGGTGGTCTTGACGGCGCAAACGTCGCATTGCTCGTGGGTTCCTTGGCTCGACGGGAGCCACCGCCGCCGCCGCCGGCTTTGCTCCTGCGGCGATGGTGATGCCGCGAGGCTCCGCCGCCCTTGCCTGCACCCCGAGCCGCCCCCCCGCCCCCCGACGCCGCTTTCAGCAAGTTCTCGGCCCTGGCCAGAGAGGCGGCGGCGGCGGCGGCAGCGTCGTCGGGGCCGAACAGCAGGTTCCCGATGACAGCGAGGTCGTGCCTCTGTTGGCTGCACTGGGGTCCCAGTCCGTACATGGTTCCTCCTGCGCCGGCAAACGGGGCCATCAAAGAACCACCGAAGCCGCTGACGCCGCCGCCGCCGCCGCTACCGCCGCCGCTGCTGCTGTGTCCGGACGCCGAGCTCGCCCCGCTGGAGACCCTGTGCGCCCGGGGAAGGTCGCAAACGCTGCTTCTCCTGCCACGGTGGGGTTGGGCGGTGCCCACCATACCCGCGTTTCTCGGCGGCTGGATGCTGTCGAAGACCCCCGCCGCCAAAGGCTGCGGGAAGGGCCGCTCGCTGCCGCTTCCCCTGGAGCCGCACCCGGAACAGATGCTGTGCCGCCGCCGCTGCTTGCCGCCGCCGCTGGGTATGCCCCCACCGCAACAACCGTTGCTACCGCTGCCGCTGCTGTTGCCGTTGCTGCTGCCGCTAACCAAGGCAGCCGATGGAGGGGGCGCAGGGGGTAGCGGCAGGCCGTTCCACCACGTCCCCGGCAAATGTCTGTTGCCGAGGTCCATCGGCCCCGGCGGCGAGCGAGTTCCCGGCCGCGAACGGCTGCGTGAGCGGCTGCGCGAGCGAGAACGAGAGCGGGAGTTGTACGAGCCTGAGGAGGCCGAAGAGCCGCCGCTGCCGCCCTCTGAGCAAGAAGGTCCTCCACTACTCCCGCTCCTGCTGCCGCTGCTGCCGCTGCTGCTGCTCCGCCCCCCTCTCCCCTTCCCTTCCTCCTCCTCCTCTTCACCCTCATCTTCGGAGGAAGAACTCACGCTATCGCCGCCACCGCCGCCGCGGTCGCCGCGGTCGCCGCTTCGTTTGCGGCGGACACCGGGTGACAGGTGAGCGCCGTCCTTGTTGCGGGTCGACTCGTCGTCGCTCTCGAACGCCCGCTGTTTGGATGAGGGATTGCCGGCGAGAGCCATGTTAGGGCGGGAGGTGACGAGGAACGAAAACGACGTGTCGAGAGAGTACCCGCATGGTCCCTCGCACTGCTGCGAAGAACACGCGAGGGAGGACAAACTACAACAGTACTGCCAACCGCCAGTAGATCGGAGCTGTAGTAGGACATGCTATTGGGGTCGTCACTCGCTGATAATCGCGCGGCTGTCAGTGAGCCTGTGCGCTTGCCTCCCGAATGATCAGTCATGGAACGACGCTGTTCTCTTTGTTTCTGACACGAAGCGATAGTCAAGACCCCGCTGACTTTGTGCTGTCGTCCGGGACAACCCAGCTTCCAGCCTTGCATGTCATGCGTCTACGACGGGAACACATGATGTGCGGTGACAATGCCGGCCGGAGCATTAAAATATGCCAAACGAGCGTTGGAGAGGACTTCCGACAACGGTATCATTTTCTACGATAGTTTGGGTAAGAATCCGTAAGGAGAATCCGTCGAGGATGCTATACGATAGTTTGGCCCAAACTATCGTATAGCATCTCCTACGGATTCTCCATACGGATTCTTACTTTTGCTCACATGGATTGACATTCCTCAGCACACACAAACCCCACAATGGTCACCACTAGCTCCAAAGACGCCTTTAGGTGTGGTGCGTACAGCCTTCAAGTTCTGGTGACGATCCGACCATCATGGAGGGAGAACTCTGTGGTGATGTGGTGAGAGGTCTGTCTCTTGGTCGAACCCGTGGCAAATCAGGGGGGTGGGGGTATGCCAGTCCAAAAAAATCCGTCGGGCCAACTTTCGGTTGCCATAAGAGTCAAGCCTAACAATATTTACAGACTTTTCGTCGAAAAAGAATGGGATTGTATCCACCGGTGGGGGTCCAAGGCGCACGATACGGCGGTCGCCCCGGGTTTGTTGGTTGCTGTTGATGTCTTCACATGAAAACCGTTCCGGTCTCTGCTCGGAACCTTCTCGTTCGTACCGTTTCAACTGACTAGGGCGCTTCCAGCAGTCACAGGCCAACTGCCCAAGGAAGGCTATGTGGTCCGCACGTCGAAAAACCCAAGGAACAAGAGGAAACGTCCGAGAAAAATCACCACAAGCACGAGGAGAACTGATCACGAACCAACACAGAAAAAACTGCTTCCAACACGCTTTCTCATACATAGATGTTGTTTATGCCCGACATCGTGGGTTCCCCGGCGAGAGGCCCGCGTGCGAAAGGGGTGTGCCCACAACACGAAAAAGAAAGCAACAACCGGCGGGTTTTTTTCGCCCTGGGGGCGCATTGTTTTTTGCCGAACGGTCGCCCCGCTACCATTGGGAACGCCCCAGGGGGGAGGTCGTGATACAAAAAACATGTCCACCACCTACGGGATTATCAAAGTTTTTTTCAGTAAACCTGTATAATAGTGCCTACATGGTATAAGACACACCACTGAGAGAAAAGTATGAATTGAACAGAGAAAAAATGGCTTGTCACGGTCCGGAATGAAACATAAACCCCCATATTGCACACAGCAGCAGCAGTAGTTGAAGAGAAAAACGGATTTCATTGAAAATCGGAAATGAGAGAAGAAGAGTGTGTTTTGCTTCTTGTCCGGGCCCCCTCTTTAAACCACCGTGGCCGTCATATCAACACACCTCTATGATGACTTCCCGTCGCCTGTGTAACTGCCGGAGCTCCTCCTCCACAGCCGCAATTTCCTCCTCTCCTCTCGCCGCGTCGTGCTGCGCCTCCAGATCTCCAAGGGTCCTATTTAAGCCGCTTATTTGGCGATGGGGCCAGCGCTTGACGCCGTGCCTCCGACACAGCCGCTTCAGCGTGGTGACCGAGATATGCATCGCCTGTTGGCCAAGGGGGGGGGGGGCGGGGGGGGGGTAGGATCATGGGCACATGGTCGTCCTGTGTTTGTTGATCGTGTACGAAAACACAACAAATTCATCGCTTCCACTTTTGGCTGGCTGGAGTCCGCGATAGCCTGACTTTTTGATTTGATCCTCGCATTCTCTGTCAAATTGAACGGTGGAACGCAGTAAGCCAGCTATGTCCCCGGATTGGTAACGTAGCGTTCCTTTAGTTTGTGGGAGCAGCGGGCACCGGACACTTTGGAGGCTTGCGCGGTACCACTTGCCCAACCTCTTGCTTTACGCGTGAAAGCTTTCGTTGTCGGCTAACGCGCGGCTAGTTTTGAGGAGCATATATATGCAAAAATCACTTCACGGTTAAATGCTCAACCATGTTTAAATGGTTCGAAAATAAACGCCGATTCTCAACTGGGTCATCACAGCCATGCTTACCGGAGGTGGCGTGCATGGTACTGGTGCTTCCTGCACACAACGATCAAGCCCTAAGTTCATGCCACCAACGTGCTAGAGGTTTATATCGGGGGGGGGGGAAGGG